GACCTAAAATGAGCTCAACTCGTCAATCTTCGCTTAGAGGTCTTTTTTACAATCATAGCAATATGCCCATTCCAATTAAGATTGGTCCTGTATAACAAAGCCAAGAACTTTATGACGGAAAACAATTTCCAGGGGATCTCCCTCAAATTGAGATGTTCTATAATGTGTCGCTCTTTGAGGAAACTGACGTACATCTCTTTACATTTAATTTCATTGAATTGACCTTCATTAATTATAGGTTGTTGTCTGCCCATGTGTTGACCTCATCAAGATTATTCAGCATATAGGATACACTGTTTCTTGACAGTACAGGCACTCAGATTTCGAAATGGATACATACCAAAATTCAGCCACAAACGCTTCCCAAAACGTTTTAAAATGTTCTTAAAAATAAACTGCCTTTTATCGGTAAACGTTAATGAGTTTCAAATAAACTAATTTCAAATTCTCGCATGAATATAACTTTGCTTTCCACTGTAATTAAAAAAATTATATGCCGTCTTTTTTCATTTATATACGCAACGATCGTATCAGTTTTTAAAATAATAATAATAATAAGAAGAAAATTTCTATAGCGCACATATAAGCATACATTACTGTTCTTGCGCTTTACATTTTGAAATTACGTATATACTATTTTACACATCTTTTATATAAATGGTGTTAAAATTCGTCCGTTACAAGTCTTATATCTATAAATTATTTAAAACTAATAAAAAATTTTAAAAACAAAATTCATCTTAATTATGAGTCATGCATATGTTGTAGGCTAATTTAATAAGGTAAGTCTTTAATTTTCACTTAAAAGTATCAATGTCAGTTATAGATCTAATATCCACTGGCAGTGTGTTCCATAGTTTTAGCCCAGCTAGCGAAAAAAAACCGATATCCATAGGTTTTAAGTTTGTATGGTTGTTCTGTAATTCGCCATTTGTAGTGAAGTTTTCTTGTTGGTCAGTTCATAGAGGAATACAAGATCTTGTAAATATTTAGGAGCAATGTTGTTTACTATTTTGAAACACATTAAATTCATATTAAAGTTTTTTTCTTTCAAATTCTGGTAACTGGTAACCAGACTTCTTAATGTTGAATTGATGTGATCATACTTTCGTAAGCAAGCAATATATAACCCTAGCTGCTGTATTTTTTACATTTTGCAATTTTTTAGCTTCGTACTAAGGTATGCCGTACAGAAGTGAATTGCAAAAATGCAATCTTGAACTGACAAACGAATGAACAAGTTGTTCGGTTGTGCCAGCACCAATATACTTTCTGATCTTGGTTATGTTCCTTATATGATAAAAAGCTCCCGCCTTCGACTGCTTCATTTATTTGAGGTGGCATTGTTAATACTAGGTCTAATAGTGTCAGATTTAACTGTTATGGAAGGTTGCAATGACATCTGTCGGAATTTAGAGTAAAGAACAAGGAGTTCTGTCTTGCCAGTATTGAGTTTTAACTTATTCGCAGACATGCAGTTGGAATCTCTCTGGTGCAGTGATCCTTCCGCTGACATTTGAGGGCGTTAAATTAGATGTTGTAATAGTCGAATCTAGATTCTTGAACAGCATTTCAGCAAATCAAAACGAGATTGGTAAAATAAATAACGAGATTAACCACTTCCGCGATCAATTGCCAGCAAAAGATTTTTAAAGAAATTACTAATCATGATGCAGTAATTAACCAATTATCCTCTCAAGTGTGTTCTTTACAGGACATTGCACTCGAGTATAACCATCAATCTGATAATGCGTCAAGTTATGATGCTGGTAATGAGGAGAACGAAAGGGGTATTTCTATGGCAGCTAATGTAGAATCCAGTCAAGAGGAATATGGAAATTTAAACGCCTCGATGCAGTCGAATAAAAGTTCTGAGAGAGATTTCTATAGTTTTATTTAATGACAGCTATAATCTCGGCCTTGATGCTCCTGCTCAAATTAAACCGAAATTAAACCCTAATTTTACTCGTTCCCATGCGATTACCTATACAAATCGTCTTAAAACGCCCTATAGTTCAAATATTAAAATCCCAAAGAACATGGAAAATAAATATAACAATCTTCAACGAACGTTGAGAACAGTAGAAGAGAACAGAATAAAGCAAAATTCTTACCTGTTTAAATTAAAATTGATACTAAAGAAAAAATTCTTTTATTAATAAATTTTGATATCTTCACAAAGTAATGATCTTTCCTTTTGTCTCACTCTGCAATGAATCGCTATTCACCAACTCGTAACTCGCGAGTAAATTGCAATTCGCACTAATTCCGCACACTCGTAACTTGCGAGTGACTAGCCATTCACTCTGTTTGATTCTTACTATTTATGACTATGTCTATGATTTTCAAAATTTTCGTTTTCACAAACAACTGCAGCGCAGCGTATCTGTAGGAGTAAGCTTTGAATCAAGAATGCATGAATATTGCATGAAAGAATAGAACTTACTCTACTTTAAAAGATAACTGCATGCTACTACCGCATTAAACTTTGAATTAGATTTTCAACTTGTTATTTTTGCCATGTTTGTTCAAGACCAAATATATATGGATAATGCGAGCTAGCCGAATTTGGGTTGACTGTGTTGTCATTTATAGTATTCGGAATTTTCCAAAGAAACTCGAATATTCAAAGAGATATTCGAATATTCATACGCGTTCCGAACCCGTTTTGGGACTATATTACGCTCTATATCTATATAGTGTTGAGCACTGTTTGTGTTTCGTAAACCAAAAACGTTAGCTATATATATATATATATATATATATATATATATATATATATATATATATATATATATATATATATATATATATATATATATATATATATATATATATATATATATATATACCAAATATGTATGAATTTCGATAGCGCTGTTTTGTTTGCATAGTCTTTGTTCTTAAATGATAGGGTATGGTTGTAAAACCTCGTTTTGAATTCCGATTCCGCCATGCCGACGTAAACCTTAGGGTCGTCGTCTTTTCCTGGTTCAAAGACTTTCGCTTGGTATATTGTAGCTGTTGTTAAACATTGATTATCTAATGGGCAGTTATTCTTGTTTCTACAATTGCATCTGGCGCTGCTTGCTTTCTCGTTGTTCAAAACGTTTTTTGTTATGTCCTTTAATTATGCTGGCCATCTTATTCATGCAACTATAGCTTATTTTTATTGTATTTCGGTTAAAGATTTTTCTTAAAGTGTTGCCAGGTGGGAAATGTTTGTCAACAAGCTAGTTCCAAAACTGCTCTGCCTACATTTGTTAGCACATTTGCTGAGTATGGTGTGTTAAACCAAATAATGTTCCGCGCTCTATTTTTGCGTGGAGTTTGCAGTGTTGTTCTGGGCAAGTATTTTAATTGTCATCGAAACTGCTCTCTTTAAGGGCTTTGTTGTAAATCGGGGCTGCTTTATGGAACTCCTCGGCATTGCATGACAGATCGGAAATTCGTTGACTAATTGATGTAGGTGCTTGTCTAATGATTGGTGGTTTGATTGTACGTTGATGTACAGCAGTGGCGTAACTACTATGGGCTCAGACCGGGTGAACCCGGGGGTCCCCAACCCAAATGGGGGCCCCCAGGCTTAGGCGATAGGGCAAAAACATTGGCCAGGGCCTCTGAAATGTTACAATGTCGTTTTATGACCATCAGAATTCTGTAAAATCTCTCCCCAAAGTCCAGGAAATGGCATTTCAGAGAGTCTAGATCCAAAAATTTTCCGGAAAACCATGCCCTGGACCCCCTAGAAAACTCTTGCATATACGGCGCTCGACTGGTGCCTTTGGCACCTCTACTAGTGGGGGCTTCGAAAATTTTGAACCGGGGTCCCCCTGATATAACGTTACGCCACTGATGTACAGGGTGTATAAAAAAAAGGAGACCTTTAGAAATCAAGCATATTGTTAAAATTTGAATGCTTTTTCAATTGCACATGTGCTAAACCGTGGCGCGTGAAATATTCATGATGGAGTGCATATATTAGAAAAAGCACTTTGCTAAGCCCACGAGTGCGTAACATGCGATCTACGTACAGTATTCATGACAGATTGTTCCCAGGAGCAGACAATCTTTTGTTTAAACGTTATTTCAATTTCTAAAGGTCTCCTTTTTCTAATATATGCACCCCATCAATATTTCACGCACTACGGTTCAGCATCTGTGCAATTGAAAAGGCATTCAAATTTTAACAATATGGTTGATTTCTAAAGGTCTCCTTTTTTTTACACCCTGTAGAGCGGGGTATTGTCTGGTTTCCTATAGGGCTTGTAAGAGCCATTGTTTAAATCAAAGGTGACATCAAGGAATTTACTATTTTCTGGTTTGTCTGTATAGTAATGCTTAAACCAAGGTCCTTTTATGGAGGGGAATTAGGGACAAAATTGTTTCAGAGTCAAAGCATTATTGTGTCATCACGTTCAATTGTATCGTACTGGACAGGCAGGCAATTGGGTCGTACTGCATAGACAATGGGTCGTACCGGATAGGCATTGGGTCGTATTGGAGAGGCAATGGGTCGTACTGGACAGGCAATGGGTCGTACCGGATAGGCATTGGGTCGTACTGGAGAGGCAATGGGTCGTACTAGATAGGCAATGGGTCGTACTGGAGAGGCAATGGATCGTACTGGAGAGGCAATGGGTCGTACTGGAGAGGCAATGGGTCGTACTGGACAGGCAATGGGTCGTACTGGACAGGCAATGGGTCGTACTGGATAGGCAATGGGTCGCACTGGATAGGCAATCGATCGTACTGGAGAGGCAATGGGTCGTACTGGACAGGCAATGGGTCGTACTGGATAGGCAATGGTCGTAAAAGGAAATTGTCCATTTTTCGTGCGGAAATTTTGAAATGTCCATTTTCCGTAATTCCGTACGGAAATTTTGAAAAAAGGGAAGTAGAGTGGAAAACGTCTTGTTTTCACATGCAATTAATATTTTTAGAAAATTAAAAGATTTTGCTATAAATATCATATATTATAACATTTATAAGTAAGGTATATGTCGTCTCGTTCATCACAAAGTGAAGGTCAACATCAAACGCCACAGGAACTATTATGTAACAATTTTAAGGAGGTTATTTGCGATCTTTTAAACTACTTGAACGGAGTGGGTAATACTAATGGAAATCACGATGTTGATTTGGACTACGCTACGTACCGGCTAGACTGGCTTATTTCTTTGTGTACAAGGTTTGGAGATTATTTCGAAAAAGAAGAAACCTTCCTGGGATATCTACTCGAGGCCCAAGAATTGCTATTTGCTAGAAATAGAAGCGACAGCCAACATATTTTTAGTTTTGAACCAGAAAATGAGACTGATCCATGTAATTCTATTCGTTCTAGTGGAAGACCAAGACTTAAAATCCCAAAAGAACAAATTGAATTATTTTTGGATTATGGTTTTAAAGCCACAGATATAGCCAAAATGCTGTGTGTTAGTGTCAAAACTATTCATCGAAGACTCCATGAATACAATTTGTCTATTAAAAAGTCTTATGCCAGTTTGAGTGACGAGGAACTTGACAACATTGTCACGGAAATCAGTTCGCAGTTTAAAAACTGTGGCTACAAATCGATGCGAGGTCATCTTCTCGCAAGAGGTTTCAAGTTGCAAGAGGAAAGAGTTAGACAGTCTATGAGAAGGACTGACCCGGAGGGTACTTTTGTGCGAGCTCTTCAATTAAAGGTTACCCACAGGAGAGTATACAATGTGCGAGGCCCTCTTGCACTATGGCATATTGATGGAAATCATAAATTAAAAAGGTATTAAATATGCTATATCAGTTTCAGTCTCACAGAGTAGATACTTTATGTAGTCTCTTCTCTGTGTCAGTCTCCAGTGGGGCACATTTACAAGAAATTAAATTAAAGCTTGTATGGGGGGGGGGCATATTTTCTTAGACTTTTTCCCCTTCTCCCCTTTGGGTGTGTGAAATTCCCACTTCTTTGTTGTTTTTTTTAAATTTATAAATTTTGAAATTTATGAGCTTCAAACCTAATTCAACTGCTAATGAAAACCCATTGTTACATTTTTACAAAATTAATGGGTACTGTTTGTGCATGAATATAAAATGCTTGTAGTAAATGTGTCTACTGTACTAATCATCATGACATAAGTAGATTTATTTAATGCTGCTGTATGGTCACATGTCAGAGTTTGGCCAGTCGACTCAGTCTGTGTTGGTACAAGTAGAAAAACACAATAGGATGCATTGTCTAATTTTATTACAGAAGATAACAAATGTTATTAAGATTCAACCATATTTCTATACTTACTGTCGTTTAGGTGGAAAATCATTATTCATGGTGGTATAGACGGATATTCAAGAAAAGTAATGTTTATGGCATGCAGCGGGAATAATAAGTCGGCAACAGTTTTAAGTCATTTTGTCAAAGCAGTGGAGCAGCATGGTTTACCATCCCGTGTCCGTGCAGATCAAGGGACAGAAAACGTGGGTGTGGCACAATACATGTTCAACCATCCAGCTAGGGGCCCAGGAAGAGGGAGCTTTATCACTGGTCCAAGTGTTCACAACCAGAGGATAGAACGATTGTGGAGGGATCTTTTTGTTGGTTGTCTTTATATTTATTACTCTGTGTTCTTCTACATGGAAGAAGCAGGTTACTTAGATGTAAGTGATGCAGTGCATATGTTCTGTTTGCACTATGTATTTATTGAAAAAATAAACAAACATCTTGGTCACTTTGTCAATGGATGGAATGATCATTCCATACGAACAGCACAAAACCGAACACCGAACCAGCTTTGGATAAGAGGCTTGTTGAACATTTCTGCAAGTAATGACTTAGCAGCACAAAGGATTCAAAATCAACCATCCCTGGTATGTGAATTTCCATGTGAAAATTGTTTTCATTAAGTTAAGAACCCTACATGGATGTACTGTAGCTGGCATATTGAAAAAATACATATACTCTTTTTATTATCAATAGTGGTCTGAGTATGGAATAGATACAGAAGATCATTCATTACATCTGGAAACAGATTTTGAAGTTGATGAAGACGATGTAATTCAACCCATTTCTAACAGTGAATTAATGGAGTTAAAAGACAAGATCAACCCACTTCAAGATGATGATTCATTTGGCATCAACACATACATACAAGTATGCCTATTCGTAACAGAAAAACTTCACCAATCAGCCTTACAGTCCCCATCATAAAGTGGATCAAAATAATGAAATTTCAATTTCTTTTTGATTGATTGGTACTTTATGATAAAATGATGATGTATTGGCAACAACAAAAAAAACTGTGCATAATGTGGCAGTTTTGGTAATTTATCTAAATAATGTAAAAATTTGGGTTTGCAACTATCGATATTCACTAACTTTTGAGTTCTTAAAAAAAAGTTGAGTGTTAACGTTTATAGCATTGTGATCAGTACAAATTTCTTTACCAGAAGAAACGTTATGTTTACTCTTTAACCCATTAAGTGCCAGCGCTCTCCCCTTGACAAGTAAAATTGTCTCGCGTTAGACAGAGTAAAATACTAAAGTAGGGTGCATAAGGGTGCAATGCGACTCAATGGGTTTAAAATAGGATTGAAGTATCATCTACCCTAGTTCCAGAGGCTTTTAAAATAAAGAACAACAAAGTGTAAGAATTGTGAAACACTATAACGAGCTACGATGTCTATTTCCCAAACAAGTTTGACATACTTTTATAAATCGCATGTGAAGTTCACTAGGCATTGAACCTAATTGAGTATGGCGACACTCATAGTTTCCACACGACCAGACACTCCCCTCCCCCTTCTCTATTTCACATTTCTTCCATCCTACCGTTCTATGGCTATAATTTCAGTATGTTTAAGCGTTCTGATTTTGATAGATTACAAATAATGTAAAAGCAAGCCCACAGGGATCTTTATTATATAACAAAAACTGCAAACGATTATAAAAATAGTTTGTATGGTCTCAATACAATAGAAATTATATTAATACTTGTTCAGGTGGTATACACTTCGTTGGGAAAACCTGATGTTTGCAGTTGATTGAAATAATGTATGTAATTATGTATTCAAACAGTAAAACAGAACAGTGCATTAACAACTTTATAAAAATAGTACAGTCTATATGCTCATAGTATGTGCATAAAACAATCACAGTCCAAGGCATGTCCGATTCTTACAACGTCAAAAACTCAAATAGAATTTTAACAATGTTCTACTAGCCAGAAGTTAAACACAACCATAAGCTGGCCCATCGAAAATATCATCTGCAAAGTTGGATGTGAACTCAGAGGAATTCTCGGAGCTGTATCGTTTGTTCACAGGAAAAGTGACTGTATTCCCACAAGTGTTGGCTTTGGCTCTTGCTCCATGCAAGGTGTCATGAACAAACAGCATTGACCCCTCAATTCCGCCAGGTGGAACATAACGGGACCCGGTAATGAATTGCAACACATCATTAAGACTGAGGGTTAGAACAATTTCATTTGAAGAGGACGTAGTGGCAAGAATTCCATCTAGATCAAGCACAGTGCGGGTAATTGCACCTTGACGAACTTTTTTGAGAAACTGGTTAAAATTATAAGCTATCAATTCCTCACTAGCTCTCTTTGTGGATCCTTTTACCGAAAATATAGGTGTGAAAGGCTTTCGGACATCCTCTTCTTTAATTTCCACATGAGCAAGTTCCTCGAATGCTTGCTGAGTGTACTTCTTCATTATGCCCAGCACATTAAATAATGACAAGCCCTCTTGAAAGCTATAAATTTCTTCTGCTACGGAACTCAGCATGATGTGCTTAACAGCAGCCTTTAACATTTCTTCTTTCTTCTCAAATGGAACTGTGGCTGAATTTATTCCCATGTCAAAACGTTCATCAAAGTTTGACATAGCTTCATTCCATTGTTTTGGGTCTTCGCAGCTATTTAGGTTCTCCAGTTTCTTCTTTATGTCGTGATTTTCCAAGGGCAGCTGCTCAATGAGGCTTGCAACATCTTGCTCATCAGGAGTGCCAAGAACGAAATGAATAAGAGAAGGTAACAGGAAATGTGGACCAGAAGCTCCATTAAGTAACGCAAGTGCAACGAGTTGGCCAAACATTTTATACTCGCCTGCAGCTAAAGCGGACTGATCATGCATGAACGTCATTGTTGGAAATGCACCTCTGGTAATCCTGGAATCAATTGCTTGTTGGAATGCAATTGAAAACATCTCTCTTGTAGGACCACCTGTGTCTGCCGCAGGTTCTCCAACAAACTCTACAGATAATTTGGCCGTTTCAAACTTTTGGCCCTTTAACTCTTCAAAAACGTTGCTTAAAACCTTCGAACGCTGCACATAAAGATCAACAGATTTTGACGATTCGGATTTTAAACCAGCCACTGCAAGTTCTTGGGCCAAGCTTGTTGGTGCACTTAAAACGGTGGTATTCAAGATTTCGAGGTCGTCATTGAACTCTTCCTCTAACCTCCTTGCCAATCTTAGATCAGCTTCTATTTGTTCAGCATCATTACTCTTTGCTTGGCCTAAAAAGAATCAGAGCATATGTAGATATATAGACAAATTACAATTAACGTACAATAAGTAATAACAAAACCCGATTATTATGATAAAACAATTAAACTGTATTATTAATATTATTATTGATGAATATTTTAACAGGATAAAAACGTCAGTTATGTAAAAATTAAATAATTACAACAACTGCTATCAATATTTGTCCTGTAAAGTTCCAAGAATAACAAAAATAGGTAGCCAAAAAGTTAATAAATAAAGCCTAAAAATTACATATTTATATACGAACGGACAAATAGGATAAAATATCTTTCAAATATAATAGTTACAAAATTAAAATCCCTTTAAAGATAAACTATTTCAAAATCAAAGATCTTCGTGCTGTTGCTGGTAATGAATTAAACAGTTTTGCTCCACCGAAGTAGAAGGTCCGCTTAGCCAATTCCAGCTTAATTCGTGGCAGTTTAATAGAAATGTTGTTTCTCGTTTCTTTCTCATGATTAACCCAGTTGAAAATAATTGACGAGTGTATCATGTTCAAAGTTCTCTGGAGACACTTTTCTACCATAGAAAAAATTTGCGATTGCACCAGTTCTTTGGTATTCGGTATAGATTCGGTCATTTCGGTGCCAATCACCTTGGACGCGCGTCTCTCAAACGATGTGAGCTTTGCTAGTTGAGAGTCAGTAAAAATTGTTTTGATGGTACTACTATAAGTTAGAATTGGTAGTATTATCATATTGTAAATGTCGATAGCTGACGCTGCTGTCAAATTTCTGCGGACTGATTGAATTAAACGAAGACGACCGCTTGCTCTCTTGTATGAACGGTTGAAATTTTCATTCAATGACATATGATTATCTATCACATTTCCAAGATACACATATTCAGTCACGAAGTTTATCACGTTGTGTTATACGTTATATTTCAAGACTTGAAAACTAAAAGACTAAAAAATTACATTGACTGACCCTTGCCATGAAAATTTATCTTTTCATGGGTTTCCCAGGGTATTTTACCAGAAAAAAATGAAGTGATTTTACAAATACTACCACTGTGTGAAGAAATAGACGTACTATTAGATGTGCTAGGACCATCATCAAGACTTATAGCATCAGCATCCTTCAAATCTTGGCTGGTACCAGCTCTATAAAACACAAATACATTTTGACATGATTACAATTTACTATCAGACTCCCTCACTCTTTCTTTTCTGAAATATATACTATACTCACACACCGTTAGTAAAAGTATCAAAGAATACACCACATTATCTAACTATTATTATTTTTTAACACTCTCGGGTTTAAAATATTTATTTTTTTATTATTGTAACTTACAGGTCAAGGCCACAAATTCGCAGCCAAAAGCTTGTAAAAATAAATATTTAAACCAGATGGCTGAGAAATTTGATGATTAAACCTGGTCTCGCCTCAAAATATTTAAACTATTATAAGTTATAAACAAACTTTATTAATTACAGTAGGTCTACATTTTGTCTGATGTGTATATGTAACTGATTTTAACTGTCCATTTCATAGCTAAATCAGGAAACTTTATAGCTATATAATTGGTGTGGCATTTACCCCAGTAAATCCTTTAGATGTACAGGCGGATGTGAAATTATTTTTTGAATCTTTTATGTTCGTGAAGTGGGGTCGGTAGGCATGACTCTTTAAATTGAAAGTCCAAATTGTTGTTGAAGGAATTGGTAATTTTGATCCTCATTGACATTTAGCATTTACATACTTATACTGTAATTGACATTGTTGATTAAATACAAAGGTTACTCACTCAGAAATACAGTTGTGCTCCTTTACTTTAGTGAATGGCATTTCTTCATTGCAATAAATGCAAGGGACCATTGGCCCAGCTTCCATCTACATTTTAATAAAAATAAGATAGATCATAGCTACACATTTTATCTTACCCACGTATATGCTTGTTTTGAAGGCCAAATCCCTGTGTTTAGACTACAATCATTTGAACAGCCTATATGTTCAACCTTTGGGTCGAGGAAACGTCCCTCTGGAAAACCTTAAAGCTTACGTTTATGTCAGTATCTGTTCCAAGCTTGTTCAAATACACTTGATTCAAATACATACGATTTTTCAAATACACTTGGCTTTGCGAGTTTGTGCCGCTATCCTTCTTTACTTAATTAACTATGACATTTTCATTTGCCAGGTACACCATCAAATTGATCAAAATGTCAAATGTATAATAATAATGAGAATTGAAGCTATTTCGTTTCAGATATATTAATATACTTAGGAAATTAACTGAAGATAATTTCCTTTCTCCCCAGAATTTGGGCGTCCAAAGGCGTCCATTTTTTGTTCTAGGGGCGTCCCAGGACGCCTGAACGCCCTTCGCCATAAAAGCCTGGTTGTGTTTCCACAAACAAATTTATTACATTCGAGATGTTACTTCTATTCAAGTTTGTTTCCTACTTTATTTTATTACATAAAATCAGCAACATTTTACCTCATTAGAACTGGACTCATCAAGATCTGCCTGTAAAGGTCTTATGTAGGCAACGGCTGAATTCAACCTCTCTTTTAAGTAAGGAACAGTGTACCCTTCATTGCTTGGTGGTAATGGAACCAATGTTCTTTGACCTCCACCACCACCATGAGCCCTGAGAACTTCAAATCCTCCTGCTGCTTTAAGTTTTGGGAACTTGCCCTCTAAAAATTTTTGAAGGTCTTGATGGGATGCCTTTCTATCTGGAAACACGAGTCTCACTCGCCCAAGACCAGCACGCGTCAAGACCTCACTACGAGCTCTATCTGGAGTTAAAGTCTCGTTGACTCTTGCAACAATACAGACATCATGAGTTCAGGTGTCAGGAACTTTAAAATGGACTGGTGTATAACCAACCATTTGCCTTGATCTTTTTGCAGGTGGTTGTTGTGTGTTCTGTGTTCTTGACGTGGATGGCCTTGACACATTCCTTGAACAGAGTCCCGGGAAAGCTCTCCTAAATTTTATTTCATAAATTTAAATATTACAATGGGCCAAATGTGTCAACACGGAAATTTACCAATATTCAGATAACCCGTATTCAAGGTCTGATAAGGCCCAAGTCAAAAACACTTGGGTTTTCAGGGGTATTTACAAAAATTTTAGTTTACTATCGTTTTTTCAGAAGATCAAGATTTTTAAGGCAGCGGGGGGGCAAAAACAGGCTTTCTGCACAGTAATTTTAAGAAAAAAAATGCTAAATCAGACAAACACATCCCGATCCCGACTGCGTTTAACTTTCCGCACGCAGCGCCCTTGCCATATGAGCTAACGGCAAGCTCGATAAAAGTTAACGCAAACAAAAGTTTTTATATTCAACTATAGTCACTAGACTGGCCATTTAGACCGGCCATTTAGTATTTGATAAACCGTGACCGGCTGCCGGTCATATACTTTGTTTTAAATATGGCAATAATTTATGTTAAATCATTATCATTCTGGTGACTGATATTTTATTAATAGATTAAAATCCAAAAAGGAATATTTAGAGTTGAAACTACAATAACAGTAATGTCGGCAACAAAAATATACCCAATGAGTTGGATTTATCAAGTTCTGTTAACATTTATTCTCTTAACAAGTTCCTGCTGCATCAGGGAAGGTCACACAAAACAGCAGGGCCTGCAGAACCTTGTAAAAATAGTCATTAAAAACACATGGAATTTATTACAAAGGGGGGGGGGGGCAAGGGTATTTTCATGACTCGTGATTAGCTATTGTGAATGTTTACGTTTAAAACTCGGCCCAAATTTAATATTATGGGGGAAAATAAATAAATTTGCTTCCCGCGGTTGTCTTTCTTAAAGTTTCTTCGTTTCTTGAGGTTGGTTCGTGTCTCGTAATGTTTTGTAATGCCTCGCAATGATTTTCATAGTCGTTTAAACGGCTCTAATGTTGAAGTCAGCAAGTTCTGCTGTCTAGAAAATCCGCGCTAAATGGTTTCAGACTTTGCTACGGTTCTGTGTTTCTAAAAATCGTGAAAATGAAATTTTGTTTTTCGTGACTCGTGAATCGAAAGATTTTTCGAATTCATGTAAAGCTGCACCAAAACCCGCGCCAAGAAAATTGTCGCGAAAAATATGCGGTTTTAGGAAATATCCGAAATTTTCACTGAATTTTCGAAATTTGGCTTTTCATTCTTCTCAAATCATAATTTCAAATATACTATTACATATAAATGCTCAATTGCTTCACCAAATCTTTGCCAAATTGATCTTTGGGATCATTCTGCGACAAATAGTTGCGCCAAATCAATATTTGCGATCAATCTGCGCCAAACTTTGTTCGAGTCACTGTTCTGCGCCGAAGATCTTTCGAAAATACACCCTCAAATTCACTCTGGGTAATTTCGTGACAAGACCCCCCCTTGCCCCCCCCCCTACAAATTATCATATTTTATAACTTTTCCAGGTATTTGAAATTATGTATAAAATCTTAACTGCTTTATTGGCCAGGGGCATTTGAAATTATGTATATAACATCTTGACTGATTTATCGTCATTGTTTCTTTTTGGCCATAACCCCCTCCCCGGTAGTCGCGTATTTGAAAAAAAATATAAATTTACTAATGACACGTGTTGCATGCATTAGAATGGGAAAGCGGCGGCGCCAATATTATGGTCTATATATTAAACAATTAAACTTACTTATAGCTATAATATTCCTTTAAAGAAAATAGATAATACACTCATGGATTCCGTTCCTCTTTCATTGACTCACCTAAAATCATCAGTTGCACTTTGTCTTTGTTGATCAACGACACCGATATTCGGAGACCGAGTAGCTGTAGCTCTTGCGTTGCTTGAGCTCTGTGGCTCTGATTCCAATTCCTGTAACGCGTTCTTTAACGCATCTTTCGCACGTTGTAACCTGTCGTCTTCTCTTGACATTTTAAACAATTTTAAAAAGGACAATAAACAAATAAAGCATGGAATTCTTTTGACAAAATATATACGCAGATTATGAAAATCAGAAAATGCAAAATGCGAATTAAACATGTTTGGTGTTACCACTTCCCACACGAAAAATTTTCATTTTCCACTTTCCTTCCATTTTTTCAAAATTTCCATACGGAAAAGAGACAATTTTCTTTTACGACCCATTGCCTATCCAGTACGACCCAATGCCTATCCAGTACGACCGATTGCCTATCCAGTACGACCCAATGCCTATCCAGTACGATCCATTGCCTATCCAGTACGATCCATTGCCTATCCAGTACGACCCATTGCCTGTCCAGTACGACCCATTGCCTGTCCAGTACGACCCATTGCCTGTCCAGTACGACCCATTGCCTCTCCAGTACGACCCATTGCCTCTCCAGTACGATCCATTGCCTATCCAGTACAACCCATTGCCTATGCAGTACGACCCAATGCCTATCCAGTACGATTCAATGCCTGCCTGTCCAGTACGATACAATTGACCGTGACACAATAATGCTTTGACTCTGAAACAATTTTGTCCCTAATTCCCCTCCATATAATTATGCAAACTTTGTGTTTTAAAAACGGGTTAGGATAAAACGCGGATACGGACGGACGGATGAATGACGGACGGACGGACGGACCGGACGGATGACATATATATGTCATTATATAGTCTGCGCGCAGCCGCGCAGGGTAGTTAGTGGCTTACATCTTCGCTGGTTGTTATACTTTAAAATAATTTTGTATATACCGAGAAATCAATATTCCGAGTATATAAATATATAAACTGGGATGTCACACTGATAGCTTGTTTACATTTCCTGGAGCATCATGAAATCTTATGTTTAACCACGGTGGTTTAACCCATTAGCTGGCAATGCGCCCTTCCCTTGTCCAACGCCAGAAGATTTTACTCGTCAGTGGTATAGGGTACTGCCAGTAAATGGGTTAACAAACCTATCTGCCAGTGGCTCTTGTTAATTCATCAACACAGTAATGACCCCTACTTTAGTATTTACCCTGTCCAACGCCAGACGATTTTTAATACTCAGTCAGTGGTAGGGTACTGTCAATAAATGGGTTAACAAGGATAACAATAATAGGATGTTTCTGAAGGACTCGTTCAACACCCTGTAGTTTGTCTTTTGCTGTCAAAGGCAGCATTACTGCCCTGTGGGTAACCTAGTACATGTATATACGCTGTAACACTGCCTTAACTTAATTGCTACAATTTTAGTTTACATGTATATTGATCCACGAATTAACATATGCAAAGTTTGTGTTGGTACGTACGTACCGGCCGTACTGTATGTAAATTTTACTATGGAGATGCTAAGCATGATGGGGCGAGCATAACTAAGCAAGAGCATGCAACGATATAGCCAGTAAAACGGCCAGTAACTACATGATCATGCAACAATGATTACTAATGTCAACCTTTCTTGTTTCCGCACTATAATTAATTAAACTATCATTGGCATTGCAATGTAGTTTCGAAATTTCAAGCACAAAACTCGTAGTATTATAAATGTTGGGAATTGTCTTTGTATCCATGTACTGTATTATATTTGATATTTTGTTCAAAGGCAAAACTCATAGTATTAATGTTGGGATTTGTATTTCTATCCATGTATTAGCATATATTTGATTAAAATCACAGTTATTGAAATCACAATCTTTTCAATCTTTCATGTACGAAATATTGAAATAAATAATATAGAAATGGTTGAATGGTTTATGACACGCGCGCTAAAAATAATAGATGTATACTGTACATGCATACATGTATTAAAACAAAACATTTAATACATACAGAGATTGCAAAAACTTGCAAATAAGGTCTTCTTTTCATAGTCTTTAAGAAAAGAATAACAGAATTACAGAATATTCAGCCCAAATCAAATCGAAACCGGGCTTTGCATCAGAATTTGATCCGCGACCGCAACTCACTCAGAAATCGAGTAAAGTAAATCTTGCGATGGGCTTGCGTTCTCGTTTGATTTGGATTTAATAATACTGACCACTGTAAATATGAGTACTGTAGTTTTGACAGGTTTTTTATTATATTATTCATCAATTTCCGATTGCCATTTGTTATTTGGCATGAAGAATATATTATATCGCATGCATGTCGCATGAAAAATTGTCAGCTGGTGCGAGGCGAAAGGCTGGTAAAATTTACTGTAAATCACTTTAGGACTGAAAGTTCTCAAAACAGCCGGTGCGAGGTGAAATGCTGGTAGGATTTAAATCACTGTAGGAAATGTTCCGTGTACATACGCACCACATGCAATGCAAGGCATATTTTAAAAATTTACAAGTAGGGGGCCATAACTTGGAAAAGGGCCCATTGAGCGAGCGACGAAGGCAAGAGTTTTGTACGGGGGTCTGGGGCGTCCTCCCCCGGAAAATTAATTTGAAATCTGGAGACTCCAAAATTGCTATTTAGTGCGTTTTGGAGGCATTTTAAATAATTCTGAATACAATAAAAAGTTAATGTTTAATACTTTTACTCGCATTGTGCTTGTCTTTCAACAAATGTTTTAACTCAAAGCTATACTGTAATTTATAAAAGTTAAAGTTTACAAACATCTAGACGAATCCCTAAAGAATTTTTCATATACTCTCATTAACTATGATAAAAATATACAAACAAAGACTTACTATACTGCATACATTCACATTTCATGATTTCACACAAAAATGTGTTAAAAGGACCCAAGGAGTGGGGGGCCAATATTGCATGAGTGGGGGGCCAACAGGAGGGCCTGGGGGGCCAAATGGCCACCCAGTTTATATGTTAAAATATGCCTTGCCATAATGCATTCCGCTTGAGCTCGATGAGCCACCAAACTGTGGGGCTCGCTCAGGCTCGCCCCATTAAACAGCTTCAGTGTTTGTATATAACTATGAATACTGAATGGACCAGAAGTAGTTTTAAGATTTTAAAATTATAGTAACTAATACTGCAACTTTTTCGAAGAAAAGTCATTTTATTGGAGCCAGAAATATCAGTCAAATTTTTTTTTTAAATTTTAGAAAAATTACAGAAGAAAGATAAAGAAATTATACAACTTCAGGCACAACATCAAATTGAAATAACAAATATTAGAAAATCTATGGCCATTGAACCTCCTCAAGCTGCAGTTAAACCAACCTTGCCACTGGCACATATTGATAAAATTAGCACGTTGAGGTACAGCTGAATATTTTAGAATTTTTATACATAGGTTATGTTAAATTGTAAAGACTGAGGGCCATATTCTCTGCAGATCATATTGTTTTGTTTTACGCACAAGGTGGAGGTTATTGTTCTGCTCATAGGTTCTGCATGCTGTATAATAGCTGGGTAACAGGTTTTCAGTTTCGAATTATAATAAGCTGTTACAGTATATATACATCGGTTAGTATTTTAATCTGGTATTTGATTTTTACTTTGCAAAAAGACCTCATTGGTAGGACATTTTACGTATTTCAAGTTTTCAAATCGCTGCTTATGTTCATGTTTTGAATGAATTTTACATTCTTCTCTAACATCTAATTGATTTCCATTAACAATGACCCGTCTGCATTATATTCTAGCTGAGTAGTACTGAAATATTCCTCTCAGTGATGAAAACTGTGGTGCTTGGCAGTAGCCTGAGGTCAGGCCATATTTTTCCTTTTTAAGTGCTGGTGGATGGAAGGAAAAACAGGGCTTGACACAAATCCCCATCTGGCATGTCAAAAGGCCAAAATCCGGCTTTTCACCCGATTGATCTATCAAACAGATTTTAATCTGTCTTTTTAATCGGTTAATGCTAATTAGATTATACTGTTATAATTCATAATATATTTAGCAGTTTCAACTAGAATTAGATACCCTGGGACATTTTGATTGGATGCTAAATATAAACTTTCTTTGGGTGCAGAGTAGCCTGTGTACAGACTGACAGTATTATGCTGTGATACAGTCTGTAAAATTCGTGGCATTGCTTGTCGACCCCCAGCAGCGCTACCCAGATCTGGGTATTTGATTCTGATTGGTCACGACTGAACGTAATGGATTTTGATTGGCTGGTCTTAAATATCAATGAACGTTGGACTTTGACTTTCAACCAATCAGAATCAACTACCCAGATCTGGATAGCGCAGCTGGCGTCGAGAAGCAATGCCACGAATTTATTAATTAATTTTATTAGACTTATTACAGCATAATATACTGTAGTCTGTACCCCAACTAGGTGCAGAGCGACTTGTTTAAGGTTTGTGTCAGGCTCTATTTGCAAAATTGAGCAATGATGTATATACTGTACACATGTATTTTCATTTTCCCATTGTATATAACTACTAGAAAATACATGCATGCAGAAACCCTCGCCTTGCTGACAAAACCGTTGTATTTTCCGAACATGAAGTATCTAAAGTAGTTGTCATGGTAACACGATAATTTTTTAAGAATATTCTTACAAATGAAAATCGCCTAAAAATATCACTTTTAATTACAAAATTATCAATTTCCCAACATATTTATGTTAGGTATGTAATTATACGTAATACAAGCTTCAATTTAAAGTAAAATTCAACCACAAACAATTCACAAAACGTTTTAAAATGTTCTTTATAAAACTAAACTGCCTTTATTAACTATTAAATGGCTTTATCGATAAACTTTGAGTTTGCAATAAAATAATTTCAAATTCTCGCTTGCAAATAACTTTGCTTTATTTTTTATTTAAAAAATTCAATATAATAAAAAAGTGAATCAATATTAAAGATACACTGAAATTATATTCTGTCTTGTTTAGTTGTTTCATATACGCAAAGGCCGTCGGGTTTTAAAGCCATTATAAAATCAATATTTAAAACAAACTTACCTTCGTTAACGTCGGTTCCATTCTTTTAGCTGATTCTTTCGCCCTTTCTTTCTTGAAATTTACAAAATCTTGCAGAAATACAAGCAAAAATGAAGAATATTTGCAAGAAATTTATCAACTCATCAAATCAAGAAATGTTTGCTATTTCGCTGTCGTCATGCAGCCGTTATAATGCAAACTTTAAATTGGACCAATCAATGTCCGTTATTCATGACAGTCCGTCATATTATTGAGATCAGTGAGGATGACCACCCATCGTTGGTGACCGACGCCCGCGCTCACTGATGAACTTTAGACTTCGCTAATGCTTTCGTTTCCCCGGGTGTATTTAGCCGGGGGGAATTAGTACCCTCGCACGGCGCTTCCCGCCGCCGGCTCGGGGATTATATAAATCTCACATGAAATTGTTTTCTAACTCTGTCCATTATTTCTCGCCATGATTTACGCGTAATGTAATAATTTTTTATCTCTCAATTTTCAGAGGAAAAGCGCATAAGTTTGGTACATGGATAATATACTACTTGTGAAACTTACTATGATGTATGCTGTAATTTGATGTTTCAAACTTTATAGGTCATTTAATGGATTCAAGTTGGTCCATTTAGATTTGAAAGGTGCAGCTCCAAAAATGGCTTATCTTTTGAAGGTATTGTTGTTTTATTGTTCCTGTTGTCCTGAGTGTTTAAAAAATAATAGAGTTTCAAGCAAAAAATATACAGTTGTGATGGTTGGCACGGTGGATTTATAGCCATTTATTCCCTATCTTTCGTAGTGTTCTTCTTTTCCTGTATTCGTCCATATTTCAACAAGGTTTACCCCTTGTTGTTTAAGCATTCTCCTTCGCCAACATATTTGAAAGGCGTTCAAGAGAGTTAACATGCTGTCTCTTACCGCTGAGTTAAGCCTGTTACTGTAGGTTGAGAGTAGGGATTTACTTAGTTTGGGTATAACTTCCCTGTACATCAATAACTCATGTAAGTAGGATTGTGTTATTTATCTTCTGTGCCTTGAAGGTTTTTCTTCGAGTTATCAGAGTTTTCTCTCGCATAAAACTAACCCTTAGTCCTTCTTTGTCGACCCTTAGGCCCTCTACTCGCTGGGTATAATTGGGCGCACCACACCCTGTGTAGTCGGCATCTTAGTTCTAGAAGGAGAAGTTCCGAACAACTACATATATAAATTATATAAACTCCTACAATTGATTGCAGTATGTTCTTATTCCTATTAATCATGTTTCCTGCCAAAGTATGTCGGAAATGTAGGATTTATGCGAAATACCTACTGCTCAATTACGATTTTGAATATACATTGATCTTGGAAAGGTCATTCGGTACCAGCAAATAGCAAATAGCGAGATCACCAAGTACCAAAACTGTACGTGGGAATTGGCTGAAAAAGAAGAAGTACCAAACTGCAGTTTTTGGTAACGTTGGTTACGTAAGAATACGAATCTGCTTTAGTCTAGGACCTCATGTATATGAGTTTGTATGCGTTTCATTTAGCACAGGTAATCTCAACTGTTTTAGGGTAAAATGACCATGGCGGTCAACATGGCATATGTGCCAAAACCTGAATCCGGGACGAAAGTCCTGAAAATGACCCCGCCCTGAAACGGCAGTGTCGACATAGCTTTAACTTCTGAAAACAAAAAGCGATATAGTCTTTCTGATGTGCTTATAGTGTTTAGAAGGGTTGCTTTTAGGGGTGGTCGTTGGAAGGAAAAATTTGTCTAAGTATAATATTTTACAAGAAAATGACCATGCACCACCCCAGGTAAATTGCTAATTATGCATAAAATAACTAATATGCCTGGCAGAAATTAAATATTCTTATTTCCTAAAAAAAATTATATCATGGGGTGAAAAACTATGCTTAATTTAATATAAATATTGTTGATTTCATAAGGATTGTCATTGTTTTCTTTAAATATAATACATTCACTTACCCCCCACGAAAACACGATTTCAGCCATATTTTGCCGTCTTGTTTGCTTTTTATCGCCGAATCTGGCAAATATCATCCAGTTGTTGTACTTTTACATAATCATAAATGGCTGAAGAAGATTTCAAAGAAGGTTTCATCAAGTTTTGAAACAGTGCAATGTATTTTATCTTCAATATTGTGTCCTTCGATATTTCGTGAAATATGGCGCCATTGCAATGGCTCGCCCCTTCGTTGCCCAATAAATACCACTTCTTCGTCTTCATATGTATTTAGATTGCATTTTTATCCAGGAGTACTTCATTGTAGAATAGTCCCAATCCAAAAATTGAAAACATTATTTGCACTTGGGAGGAATAAACCTCCCATAATAGTTGTCCTGTCAGAATTCAAAAGAAGTAATTTAAAAGTCACGCGCAAGTTCGTGAAAACACCTCGTGGGCTACTTGACAGGGGGGGGGGGTGAATATTTTCACGAAACGTTTGTTCGCCACCACAGCAACCTAACTAAATGTATTATATTTTTTGTATTTTTATAATTGATGATAAAAATACGCAAATATTTATTGTTTTTATCATAAATCACAAAAATACAATAAATATAATGAACCACTGTTCGAATCAGCGTGAAAAGTTGTATTTACGGATGGAAAAAGATAAGAAATTATACGTATTACTAAACAACAGTATTCTAGCGATTTTATGGCGTTTGAAAGACAAGCGAAATTGTATTGTTCACAAATCGCTCAAAATTATTAAACTAATTAAAAATGCAATACATTTGACCTTGATAACTTTCGTATTGTTGGTTTTCTCTTTTTCGGCCGTATACCACAACCTCGTTCCCAGGGTCTTTCTTAGAACGGCGCGAGGCGAAGGAAAGACCCTGGTTTCGGCTGGTCACGTGTCACCCAGATTCTGGGTGATAAATTAAAATGATACTATGGGCAGGGTGGGAGAGGAGCGTGTTTGTCGCGTTTGTAACAATATTTGCAATTTTGTGTGATGAAATTTAAATTTGCAAGAAGAAACTGCAATTAAAAATTAATATTTATCGTGATGTGACTTTCTGCTCTATAATCTAGTGTCGAGTTACAATTCAAGCAAGTTGGATCAGATTTCAACTTACAAAGAAAGCACGCCTGGGCGGCGTGGCAATATTAAGCCTACAAGAAAATTCATATCTCTAGACCGACCAATGTGGTTTATATTTATTTAACTGTTAGTATTAAAGTATATCCTGATACTCGGACCAAAATAATATATTTATTGATGAGATGTGGAATTGGAACGAAATAGCGAGATCTTTTGATTTCCGACATATCGCCAAGACGCCAACTGTATCGAGATTGTTGATTATAAAGGCCTTATCACAAAACTTAAATCCCGTCAAAAGACTATAAAATTTCCTGCAAGATCTCAACGATCATGGTATATATGTCAAAGTCTAGCTGTCTGTTGAAAATCTACGGTATTACAGTAAAGTCATACATCAAAGATAAGTCAAACGACAATATATTTGTCTTACTGTTTACTACTGTGTTTATACCACATTTATAAATTTTATAAACAGCTTTCGTTTTGACACAAGCTTTAATTTTCTGCTTTATATATATTCTTAATAATACAAGTGAGATTTAAATTTTTTGCTTTGTGAAATAGAATACCGTTATTTTTAATGGACAGCTTGTATCGTCTCTATCATATCCAGGATTGCTTGTGTGTAAATACTATAGTATAGCCTACATGTATCACTATATATGCCACTATCAAATAAATATAGAAATATAATTTTAATGAACATATTGAACTAGAAATAAACAGATGATTGAGACACAATGAAAACTGTTAGTAGCCTTAGTAGAAGTAGAAAACTCGAAAATTTATGTGTATTCGTATGGCAGTCTGTGCGCGTCTGACACTGTAAATTTGTGATGTAGATTATAGCCTAGTTGTGTGCATATTAGGAAAACATTATCTGACCAAGGAAAAGGCTAAAGCCTTACTATAATTAATGAATACGAATTATGTACTAAATCCAAAATTTTAAAGATAAATCACTGACAGACATTTCTCTGTTTGGCTAGTATCAAATGTTTACATTTGCTGATATTGGGCTCTACTCCTAGGCAATACAATACAATACAATACAATACTGTTTCTTTTAAAAATCTTATAAACAAGACGTGCAAAGCATAGCAACGTTTACAAAAAAGGACAAATCTAATGCGTGTTTTAAAAACATTAGATATGTAGAAATGGTGACCACTGAAAAGCCCATAAACGTTTGTTATAAAACCGCGCTCGAGTGTGAAGAGAGCATTGAATAATAATAACACGAGAAAGCACTGCGAGTAACGATTTGCTTGGTTTCTTGACTTGACTGTTGGTAAAAATGTAAGAATGTTCTTGTAAATTCAATGCAAATAAAATAAACAAAAATTAGCAAGTACTTTGAACTTACTCGTAATAGTTCGCAAAATTTATGTTTTTAACTGTTTGTAATTTGATACTTTCACCACACCCCCCCTCGGGCAATCAATTTTGGACGAGGCACGTGACCAGCCGATACCAGGGTCTTTCCTTAAGACCCTGGGAACGAGGTTGCGTATACCAGTGGATTCATCTCACTTTTCTCTTTATTTTGTTAGTAGTTTGAGCCCAAAATATTATATTTTGAAGGTTTTAAAACGCAGTTTTGATCCTAACAAAGTCATTTTGAGAAGTAACGTTTTACTTCGTTATTTTCATTTTGTGGCGAAGTATTTCGTTACTTTCTAACTTTTGTTTAATTTTACGTGATCTATTTCTGGTTTATTTTAATTTCGGGAAAGGTAATACCAGGGCCGCCCAGAGGTTGGCGGGGGCCCGGGACAAATTTTTTTTAGGGGCCCCTATCTAAAAAACTTTATCTCATTTTTCTATGCCAAAATTCGGTATTTTGTCCTTTGCGCGGAAATATTTAACACACAAAAAAGGCTGGGGCCCAACAAAAATTTTTCAGGGGCCCCCAGCAACACGGGGCCCGGGGCAATTTGCCCCCTTTGCCCCCTCTGGGCGGCTCTCGTTTATGACTTACTTATATAAGAATTATTTAATGCATTTCTTATATCTTCAACGGGGTCTGGAAAGTAGACCATGCCGTGAAATATTGTATAATTATTCGGTGCACGCATATAATGCGTGTTATTATACATTTAATATGTATTCTCGTTTCTAATTGGTCAGAAAGCACCGGCTAATTTTCAGTATTTGGCATTTATTACGTATTTTCCGCCGATGACGTCATCAGCGTCCAATAATTGTTTTTTTGGATCGAACTTGCATCCAAAAAAACAATTATTGGACTCTCTCGTGCCCAAACCCTTGCGCGGCCAAAAGCTTGAACCTATAAGCGCGCGAAAAAACAAAACAAACAATGGCCTACAGCAGATTTGTTTCGCCGAATGAAAGTGAACTCTCCAAATTATTGGCAGATAAGGATAGTGAAAGCACGAAAAAAGCCACAAAGGGGTAAATAGAAGTAGAAATAGAATATTTAGCTGACCTTTGACTTTGTGCAAGGTGTTTGATACTCAAATTGTACTTTTCCTACCTCATGAACAGGAATCGTTTTATACCTTTCTCATGTCTTTAAATGTATAAAACAATTATTGGATTCGGCTTTCGCATGATATCAAGGATTATTCTGACCTCGGTCTATGTTATCCGCCTCAGCTTCGCTTCGGCAGATAACATTGACCTCGGTCTGAATAATTCTTGATATCATGCTCAGCCTCATCCAATAATTGCTTATTGTTTTGTGTCTTTTGTATGTTAATCCATTGGAGAAGTTCCCTTCCCCCCTCTACGCGCTACAGACAATAGTACTTTTACTTTGTACTTAAAGTATTTTTTAAGGATACTTTGTACTTTTTACTTAAGTACGCGCGTATACGTTTTGCTTCCAGTACTTTTTACTCTTACTCAAGTTTTATTGTTAATTACTGATATTATCTAAAGTGCGAGCTGCAAGTTGCGAGTATATTGTTAATTTCTAATAACCACGGGTTGAATTATTTTAACTTCAGTTGTACTTCATCCTCGTTCCCAGGGCTTCTCGGATGGTTGTACTTCTGATGAAAAGGACTTGAGTTTAGGGTTCCGAGCGTTCAGTATATATATAAACAAACTGAGTCTGTGTCTGGTCATACTTACTAATAAAATTAAACTGAACCATTGTAAGATTAGAAAGCACAAAATGGTCTGGACAACTACTAGATTTAATTAAACACAGAAACGGCAAATATAAACTTACACTTTTATTGTCAATATAATTATTTTAATTCTTGAACATACGTACCGATGGATCTATAAACATAGTAAACAAACAAGTATAGCCGATTTTCATCTCGACCGTATCGTAGCATTTTCTTTTGTGTCGAAGTCATTAGTTCCACTCTAGTGGTCAGGAAACAAAGAAATACGCTACGCTTTGCTAGGATACGGTTGAAGTGGAAAACCAGCTTAAAGTGCACGGAAAACGTGTTGAAACGAATTTAGTTACAGGGAACTTAACTTCGAAGGTCATTAATATTTATGAAACAAAAAACCCTTCGACTTTGCCTTTCATGTCGTCCATATTAATATACTTTCAAACCTAATTCAAAGCGAGGCTCGCAACCCGCAGCTCGCAAAATAGCCGACCCCTTAATTACTTCTACTTTTACTCGAGTACAAATTCAAAGTAATTTAGGCACAACTGCATTTTAGTACTGTGTCTGGTTATACTTATCGTTCGACTATTCACAACGATGTTGAATTACTAGTAACTATCGAAGTACTGTATTAAAATCTAGCCGTTTCTTATTCTATAACACAGTATTTCAAAATTACATTAATGTTATTAGTATTTGATGTAATTTTGTCTCGCGTATTCTACTACAAGGTGTGTTTTCTAAATCAGAATGTATGCTTATCAGTTATAAAGGGACGAACATTTTTATTGCATAGTTACTTCCAGTGTTCAAGTCATGGGGAGCAACGGGGTTGTTGGTTGAATATGAAGATACGTTTCCTTATGACGGAGATCTCTCAGTTTTAAAATCTCACTATGCATACAGGTACAATATACATGATAGGATGAATCATATATTACTTAGTTCAGGGTAGGCAAGAATCATTAGTAGTGTTATTGCCTTATTGGCACATCAGTATTCAAAAACATCTCTTTTTATCATTTTAGTCATATTTATATAGATTACTTGTAAATAAGTATCCACTAACCTTCTGACGGAGAGCCTTCATAATATCACTGCACGAGAATATGTTCTTGCTTTAATAAACGTGCTATTACTCTTTTATTAACTACATGATTATGTGAAACAATACTTAATCATACATTTAGTGTACAGGAAATCACAGAATTTCTAAATGAAGTGAAAAATCAAGATCTTTTAATGGTGCCGCTCGTTCAAACATTTGGACACATGGAGGTATTAACAATTGAACTAATTAAAGGATTGTACTGTAAGTTGCAGTTAATGTTCGAATCAGATGTAGTCTTTTGCACATGTGCATTTGGTATTGGCTATTTTCAGCAAGCATTATGGGACAGCAAATAGTGTTTATGCTGATAGGAGCAAGCAAATTAGACTAGTAAATGTCTCGTATTTATTTGTATTCAAATACAAGATATTACTTCTATAATGAAAATAATTAACATCGTTTTAACACACTTGATATTTGAATAATCTAAATCATCTGCATAGTTGGTTTGGATGAAGATGAATAGAACTTGTTTGTTTTGTGGAAACCACCACGCTTATTTATTCGCCAAAACATCCAATCAGTGCAATACGCCAATAGACTTTACAGTTTATTGCACTTTTGTCCAAATGCAATGGCCTCGTTATTTTGGGAGTCAGTTTTGGAGAACAGTGCTAAATAGCTATATATAAATGAAAGACCTATAGGCACTAAAGACCTGACAAAAATCACGAGTCTTATACGTTATGGTACTATAAAGTCTTATTTAAAAGGAGGCCACCTTTGGTTTTACCCTGTTTCGAACGAAAATAACATATTTCGCATCTCCAATAGTCAAGTTACAAAACCGTGCTCGCATTTTCCGGCAGGCTTTGTACTTACTTAGATATAAACCAGAGAAGATATTAAGTGCTCATTCTGTTTCGGGGAGCAGTTAGAAAGCCGCACATAAATGGAAAATATTGCATTAAATCAGAAATGGGAACACGGTTTTGCTCCTTTAACATTGCCCTACATTGTGACCACGTTTGGGAGAAATTGAACAAAACGCAAGCTCATATATTTCAATCTGTTTTTGTAAAGGGAATTGGCGAAATTTTTGTGCCAAGAAAAAGACGATAAACGATTTGGCGGGGTTTTAGCAATGTCTGTCAGACTTGCATGTTAGACTAAATTTTAATCTAAGTATAAAGAGAAGGGAATCAAACACCACAGCTAAAAAGAGCATAATGAAATTTTTAGTAAAACTGCAAAATTTGTTTGTGAAATGTTGTAAAGCTTGGAAAATATAGTCTTGCAAAATTTGCAAATTTTGTATATGTTTGTATTACATATGGAAATTGTTACGAGTTTCGGCTCAAAATGGTAACAATTTCCGCACGTACAGTAATACAAACATATACAAAATATGCAAACTTCGCAAGGCTATATTTTCCGTATTTTACAACATTTCGTAACCAAATTTTGCAATTTTACTAATTAATATAAGTACTTTAAGTTCTTTTAACATGCAAATTGTCTATTGTACGTATATATTTTGGGCCAAGGTGTTTTTAGTTGATTATAAGAACAGTGCTATAGACACGCCCACGCAAACCAGATCAGGTCAGAAATCCGCAGAACGCCTAGCTTGGCAATGCCAGCCGAAAGCAAAGGAAGGAAGGAAGCGAAACAATTTCGAACTACAGGTCCTGACATACCGGCGTAATTTGACTACGCCTTATTTGCGTGTAAAATTCACGTTGTTGTAAAGGACCATTCATTAATTATGACTGGGGGTGGGCTGGCAAAAAAAGGGGGTGGGTCATGAGGTATTTTTGACCGAAAGAAGGGGGCCACCTAAAAATATTGGTTCAGAAGGGGGGGGGCAGTTATTTATTATATAGTGGTATTATAGTGGAGAAAAATTTGACATGTAACAATTATTGCTACCACAGCTAGGGAGTGAGCAAGGCAGCAAATTTAATTCATGTATAGCTAGCAAAATTCTCAATTTTAATCAACAGATAGAACTGATAATCGAACATCTACCTTATAACTTTTGCCATGAACTTGCCATAAATTTTTGTCATATTTCAATTATGTACATTTTAATAAAAAAGATAATTAACGAGTAAGCCATGACAAACTGCAAAGAATGAAGATATTTCTCATACTTTCCCACAGTGACCTCCTAACCCTATACTCCTAACCGATTTCACTCGTCAACGGGGAAACTCTGCTAGGCATGTCCCGATTCTGCTCGGCAACTTTTGAGCAACTTTTTTCGGCTCGAGCAACTACAAGCAACTTTTTCGTTTTTAGCAACTTTTTACTACACTCTTAGTAGCGAAAAATGGTATGACCCCCAGCTTTAGCCTCCTCGGCGCTCTGCAGCTTAGTGGGTTAACCAAAAACTCTGACAATGTCTCTAGTTAACCCATTGCGCCCCAGTGCACCCTACTTATTTTTTTACTTGTTTAACGCCAGACGATTTCACTCGTCAACAGGAGACTCTGCAGCTTAATGGGGTAAATAGGCATGCATATTACAGGTAAACTACGTGAAGCGTTCCTCTTTTAAGTTCCTAACGTACTTGATTGCAATTTTCCTAATTACCTTAGCAAATTTGAAAAACTCCCTTGCAAATCCCTTGAGGAAATTTGCAATGTTGCTAAAACCCAATTAAATTTTCCTCAGTTCCTGTTAGAAGTTCCTAACTTCCTGTTACAAGTTCCTAACTTCCTGTTCTGTTCTGTCTAGTTCTGGGCGTTGCAATTGGCTAACAAAAATAATCGACCAATAGCAACGCTCAGAACAGAACAGGAAGTTAGGAAATTAAAACAGGAAGTTAGGAAAATTTAAAACGAAGTTTGTTTGCATTGGAATATTGCAACAGCCGATAGGAACATTGCAAATTCCCTCAAGGGATTTGCAAAGAGTTTTTCAAATTTACAAACCTAATGAGGAAAATTCCAAATGAGTTACGAAGTCAAAAGAGGAACGCTTCACGTAGTTTACCTGTAATTGTTGAAAGCACAAGTAAATGAAAGATCTGATGCCTTTTGCAACAAGTTTAAAGAGCTCATTTCTATACAGTAGTGTACATTTATTATATTGTCGGTGGTGGTGGTGGTGGTTTGGGGGGGGGGGGGTTACCATTTTTTAGAATTCATGTGAAGGGGGTCATTGAATTTTTTTGTGATGCAGGGCGTGGGGCAGGACATTTTGTTTAGTTGGTAATTGAATTTTTCAGCCCACCCCCGGTCATAAATAATGAATGGTCCCTAAAATTCAAGTGTTGTCAATGCTAATTACGACTTTCGCGGCAAAACATTCGGCAGCTGTAATATTTTTTCCTATATCTCCGTTGCGTTTCAAAATTTAAAAAAATTACAGAATCCGAAAGATCTCCATTTTTGTATATCTGGATAAATTAAAATCTTAAAATTGACAAATTCGGGATTTTATCATATATTGAAAGAAATATGAGGAAAAAAGCAAATGAAAACGAGACCATTGGGGTAAAAGTACAATAAATAGTACGGTGTATTTTTCCGCAAAATAAAACGAGCTTGCACCATCTTTTACAAGATATGGTACTCACCTATAATCATGATCATTATGTTTCAGTTTGTTCTCAAACATCCGAAGTATTCCCATCTCAGGCATGTTGCAAACATGAGCACTGCTATCGATCCAAACACTGAAGGTATCTTTTTCTTTTTTTACTCAGTAGAATTTGCATGGAAACATATTCCATAACTAATTATTGTATTGTGCATGGAGTACGCTAATACTGAATGACGTTTTTCTGAAAACTGAAAGAGTGAAGAATTCAGCAATATAAGCTTGTACCGATTTCGTACTGCTCAAATCTAAATGCAAAATTTTATTCGTGTTATACTACCAATATTTTTGCAACTTTCTTAATTCATTATAGATTCCCTATACACTTTTGGTCCAACTACATAAAAGAATGTGCATATTTCGAATTGTAAGAAAACACTTCCTACGAAAGGGTTGTATATTCTATTCAGCGCAAATTGAGATAAGTCGTACGAATTCAGGGAGCATAATTAGACAGCAATTTTTAAAAATTCTGAAAAAATTTCTTATCACCTGCTAGATCTTGTTGCAAAATATTAAAAAATGCAAAACATTTTTGATCGTCTATCATTTCAAGTGGATTGCAGCACGAAACAAAAATAAATGTTTGCTGCAGGAAAATGATTGAAACTTTCGTTAAAAAAGACCAGAAAGTTCATAAAAATAATTTGCATGGTTCACATTTACAAGTGCATGAAATTAGCCAATTCATGGGAAACTATGTGGATAAATATCATAGATGCGATATAATTTTGATGACCATCAAAATATTTACTAACTAAAGTTAAGAAGTAAAATCGAACAAAACTTGGATATCTGTCCAAAATTTAATTTAAAAACACACAGTTGAATTGCCATTGCCATTGGAAACCTCTCAAAGCCAAATTGCTTAGAACCATAACAGGATATCAAAAATGTTTTTGGATCCGTCCAAAACCATTGATATCATACACTGACAAAAATGGTTTTAGGTGCATCCAAAACCAAAGCTAAATAAATTCAAACAAACCAACTCACTTTAGCAATTACAAAAGTGGTGTTTAATGCGTCCAAAATCAGCAGACCGTCCTTGTTCTACTGAACAATCGGCAGCTTTACGTGAATTTAAGGTTGCTCAATTTAAAAAAAAATGAAAAATTTACGATTTAAATCCGCATTTTCGGACGATTATTACTTGTTGGAAAACAAATTTATAGTATCTTACATATTATATATAAAGAACATCTAAACAATTGAGTTTTTCCACAAAAGTTACAGTACGTAGATGCTGTTGCAACAATGTATTTTAAAGTAATTTAAAGCCAAAAGAAAGAGAGTTTGGTGCTATTTTATGCATTCAAGTAAAATACACTTTGTTTTTCAACAAGTATTCAAGTAAACATTGTGCCTTGATAGCTATGTATTCGGTCATGGATAAGAAATCTTAAACTGAATACTGTATTAGTTTGTTTTAACAATTAAATTTTATTTAAAAATATTTGTGATTTAGGATCTCTTCCGCTGGTCAATTTGATCGTGGGTCAAATAATCAAAATGCACAAAGCTTACATCAGATACCTACATGTTGGTGGGGATGAGGTGAATCACCCACTTCAATATTTTACTAGTGTACTGTTCATCACGTGTCTAAATATATACAATAAAATACACACTCTGCATGCCAACACCCAAGCTACTTCTTTGTAAATTATAGACAATTTAATATCTGTCCCCTCCCCCTATCGAGGAACTTGGTACTCTTTTTGGAATAAGGCCTGGAATTCCTCAGGGGTAAGCAAATTTCACTCTGAAATTCTTCAGGAGTTGGGTATTTTGAATGAAATTTTCTCATGATTCAAGTTTAAAATTTTCCATGGATAATGGCTGATTTCTTCAGAGATCTCTTTTACAACAGCAAACTTTCAGAGGTGTAGTAAAACCCCAGTCATCGATGGGAAGGGGGACTACTTCTTTTATTTGGATAACCCAATGTATTGTTTCATAAACATTAATTATAGGTTTGGAGTCTAAAGGAATGTGCAGGATGCAAGCCTCCCAGTGACGTCTACCTGAAACATATGTTACCGATCATTGACAATGTCGTAGCGAAACAAATCACGCCAATATTGTGGGATGATATGATGAGAAATTGGAAGGTTGATGATTTGAAAAGTAATCTTTCTTGCTACATTTTCTTTCTTACTAGTAAATTATCTTTCTTGCTACATTTTCTGGCTTTAGTTATTGTTAATGTTTAATATATGCTGTTGGTGTTGAGTCGACGTTTCTGGAGACAGAGTGGGGCAGAGTGCTCGTGTTTCATTTTAGCCTATCAATATGCTTGCGATCTCGAAATATCTACCTAAAATAGGTATGCCATAGGCCCATAGCGCGTATATGGCGTCTACTAGGTCTGAAACATAGAAGGTACCAAATGCAGATAGAATAGTTAGGCTATTAAATTTCATACAAATATATAGGTATTTTATCTGCAGCTTCTGCAGAAAATCAGTACTGGATTATAGGTATAAAATAGTAACGTATATTTGAAAGATGTTCAGTAATCAGTCAAGGCTGCATAATTCTTTACTTTAAACTATATCGAATAATTCCAGTTTTGCAACATAGTTTCTATGCATAAATATTATTGCTACAGTAAGCGATATCTCTTCCAAAATTTCTTCATATTTGTGTTCCTCGATTGTTTGGATGGTTTTAACACACATTCAATGGAGAGGTTTTTGTTTTGAAATTATGGCAAGTACTTGATAATCAATTCCATTCCCTGTGAAAGCATTATCATTGTTGTTCTTGTTGTTGTCAAGTAGTGATTTTCCAATTAATTCTTTTTATAAATAAAAATGTTTCTTCCGGATGACAGAAACCATATATAACACAGGCTGTACAGCTGCAATATGTCAACCTTGGTACAATAATTTCTTTAATTTAGTTTGTTGTATACGTCTGCAAGTAGAGGACATTTTTAAAAATAAACCAATACACAATAAAATATGTACAAAGAGACCACTAACACTATACTGTTACAAAGTGATATATTTGGAAGAAAACAAAGAGAATTAGAAAACAATAGCATATAGAATCAATTGTATATAGCGTTTACTTCCAGTAAACGCCAAAAACGGTCAATATTCAGATCCTAATAATTGATATATCAACGCGGTCATTATTCGATTACCCATAAATGGACAATTTCTGGTCAATATACTACCCTCGACATTCGACAATCAAATTCGTTTGTAGTTTGCATATTATATTAAGTTATATTTGCATGTTCATTGTTTGTTTTAGAGATCTCTTCACGGGGCGTTGAACCAATGGTTTGGGGTTATCCACGTCATCTTGATCATCATTTCCCAGAAGGTAAGGATCAAATTGTCTAGGTCCAGTGTTACTGCAGATGAAGACCGGTGGGTTGGCCAGTGGGAAGTAAACTTGTTTTGCAGTTTATGTTGGCAAGCCCAAATTATGAGAAAGAAAGGGTAAATTTATTTAGTTCATAAGTTTAACCTCACGTTTTAAGCTCGCCTAAAAGCAGTTCCTTAATTGGTCAAGTGCAACTTGAAGCGTAAAGTCGCAACGCGAAATGATAATCATCATATCTGCATAATTTAGAAATCGAACGCAAGTGTTACTTTATCAGGAAAAATACGTGCGATAGTATTTAGGTGTGTGTGTGCTGTTGGGCTTACTCAGAAGTTGGAACGTACTTTATCTGTGATATAATCTTGTTCGTCTGAAATTACAGCATATTGTTTAATACTGTAATTATGCTTTGCTGAATTATACCCTTAATTCTTGAAACTCTGGGGCTGGTTGTATAAAAAAGTGATTAAAGTTAACATAGTGGAAACGTCATCCAATAAGCGCGTATTTGAGAGTTAATCACTATATTTAACTACAAAATAGTGATAAAGAGTTTTATACAACCGGCCCCTGGTGTAGTTGTATCACTGGACAAAATTTTGAAAATCCATAGAAGGTCATAGAATAGAAATTGTATGGACCTTTATTGTCCATAATAATTGTATATTTCCATAATATGGAAAGAGAGTTAAGAAATTCCTGTTAAGCGGGGTAGCTGAAAACGTAAAAGAATGTCAAATTGTTTCCTATCTGAAACAACGGAATATAACACCTACATATATTTCCGTTTTTCCAAGCAAAAGAAAAGGTACGACATCGGCTAAAATCCATTTTCGTTCGGCCGATTGTTCGTTAGTGCAACAACAAAATTTCTGGCCTCAGTTTGTCAACTGCAAGATTTGGCAATCAAAAGGAGAAATTAGATCTAATATTACCCATAACGGGAAGTTCTCAACTTATGTATAATGGAGCAAATAGAAGTCAGAGTTTCGTCACGTAATTTTGGTTGCCGTGTGAGGCAAAGAAGGCGTACAGAAACGCGAGGTGTCAATTATAACAATCTAACCCGTATTAGATGCACAAATAATTATAATGAAAAAAACAAAAAACAAAATAAAGCTATACTCCCGAGAATTTGCTGCTTAAACGCACGCTCAATTAATGGAAAGGTTGATGAACTTGCAGCATTTATGTCCATCAACAAAGTTCATATAGCCGCAATTACGGAGTCTTGGTTGACTGATGAGATAGGGGACGATCAAATATCGATTGGTGGTTATATGTAATTCATCGTAAGGACCGGACACATGGCCGTGGGGGTGGGGTTTGCGTTTATGTGTCTCAGCAGATATCCATTACGCGATACTTGGAATTAAAAGATTTAAATCTAGAGTGTATGTGGTTGTGGGCTCGACCACCACGCCTACCGAGACCGCTATCTGCAATCGCAGTATGTGTAGTGTATAATCCACCGGACAAAAGTGTGCAAGAACAGAGGGAACTTTGCGATTACCTTGTGTCCTCTATTGATACTATACGCTCTAAATACCCTGATTGTGGCATAGTCGTTTTAGGCGATTTTAATCGTCTCAATATACAGGATTTAGTTACAAGTCACAACCTTAAGCAAGTCGTTACGCGTCCGACTAGACAAGATTCAATCTTAGACTATATTATTACGAACTTGAAATCCTTTTACAAAACACCGGATATTTCTGCTCCACTTGGAACATCGGACCATAACGTAATCATGTGGATCCCAAAAGACATTTTTAAGGATAATAATAATGCGTGTACAAAGCGCACTGTGCGTCGGTATCCTCAGTCAGGTTTGAATGGTTTTGGTTTATGGTCAACCAGGAATAAATGGTTTAGTGGACTCGGACTCAATCCATCGTCGGATGAGTTAGCGTCATCTTTTACCAATGATCTGAACACTGCATTCGATCATTTTTTCCCAGTGAACACAATCAAATTTCATCCCACGGACAAACCATGGATTACTGGGCACACAAAGCAACTTATTAAAGAACGCCAACGTGCTTTCCACACTGGCGACGCGCAATTGTGGCGCCATTACAGACGGAAGGTCCAGATAGAGATTAAAACTAGGAAAAATAATTTCTATACCCAAAAAATCCATAACTTGCGAAAAGACGATGTCCGTCAATGGTGGCACACTATTAACACAATGTCAGGTAGAGCGAAAAGTCAACCTCAGTTTACAATTGAGCGTGACGGACAGTTATTATCGGAAGGTGAACTGGCAGAGTCTCTAAATGATTATTTCGTAAGTGTAGCAAGTGATATCCCACCACTAACATTCTTACCAGCTGCGGTGCCGCCTCCTACAATTCATCCTCATGAGGTTTGTAGTAAGCTCTTAAAACTTCAGACTAATAAGGCTATGGGCCCGGACAGTATTCCATCACGAATTTTAAAAGAGTTCGCCTACGAACTTGCTGAGCCAGTTACATCAATATTTAATACATCTTTGTCCTCTGGACTAGTACCTGTTTTATGGAAAGATTCTACCATCATACCCATTCCTAAAGCGAAACAAACCCAGGTTGAGAGCGATACCCGCCCCATCGCACTTACCCCTGTGTTATCGAAAGTAGTCGAAGACTTTGTGGTTAGTTGGATGGTTGAGGACATAGGTGGACAAATCGATAATCGTCAGTATGGCAGCCTGAAGGGAACATCTACCACCCTTTGCCTTCTAGATCTTATCCACAACTGGCTTTCTAAAATGGACAACCCAGGTCATTACCTTAGAGCTTGCTTTCTGGACTTTAGCAAAGCTTTCGATAGAATAGACCACAATATTGTTATAACAAAATTGATCGATTTGGGAGTGCGCCGTTCAATAATCCCTTGGATTTGTAGCTTCCTTTCAAATCGCCGCCAGTGTGTTAAGCTGGGACAGTGCGTGTCCCGATGGCTTTCAACTAGTGCTGGGGTTCCACAGGGTACCAAATTGGGTCCAATCCTTTTTGTCATAATGATTAATGATTTGAAAATAGTATCCCCGCGTTCCAGTAATTGGAAGTACGTAGACGACGTGACGATATCTGAGATTGTTCCAGCAAGGGAGGTATCTATACTACAAAACGAATTGGACGAAATTGGTAATTGGACAAGTACCAATAATATGAAATTGAACCCCAAAAAGTGTAAAGAGATGATTGTCTCCTTTCGACGAGATATTGAGCAGCCACCACCCACCTTAGTTGTTGAAACCATTAGTCTTGAAAGAATAGAATCCCACAAAGTATTAGGTTTAACGATCCAGAATAATCTGAAGTGGGATTTGCATATCAGTGAGATAGTAACCAAAGCATCAAAAAGACTACACATCTTACGAGTTCTCAAGCGCAGTGGAGTTTCACCGTTTCATTTACTACGAGTACATTTTGCACTTATTAGATCCCTGCTTGAGTACTGCTGTCCGGTATGGCATTCATCATTGACCATTAACTTGTCAGATAAAATTGAACGGGTCCAAAAGCGCACAATGCGAATAATCTACCCCACATTAAGCTATGACGCTGCTCTGGACCAAGCTAAATGTTCGACATTACGCGCAAGACGTGATGGTTTGTGCATAAAAACTTTTGACAAAATCAGACAGCCTGATTCACGCCTTAATCATTTAATACCACCTTCTCGGGCCAATGGACACAATTGTAATTTAAGGTACGGAAATAGATTAACACTGTTTACTTGTAAGACGGAGCGCTTTAAGAAAAGCTTTTTTCCTACTATGTGCATTCAATCACATAATTTATAAATTTTGTAAATTTTGTAAATTTAAAAGTTCTTTCGATATTAATTCATAGATCAGTAAACTATTGTTGTAATATAATGCCAGTAACACAAGGTACTTTTTAATACTTTTAACTAAAGTTTGTAAATAATTTCGCAATTCGCTTTCATCGAGCGCGACGATTTTTATAATAAACCATTAATAATAATAATATACTATGGATTTAGTGGTGCAATTGCAAATTTCGTAGTATGGGTTTCACTTTTTTCCCAGTGTATCTTTATAGAAAGTTGAATGGTTGGAAACTTAACTGCTAACATCACAGTATTCTCTTTTAAAAGTTAAACGGTGACGTTCAGGGTATGTTGCCTGACAGATATTCTTTTGTAGGAATGTGGGACAGATATTCTCAAGCATTTCCAACAATCTGGATTGCAAGTGCTTTCAAAGGTATTTGTTTGTCTTAATTTTTGATAATGACTTAAGGAAGAAGGAAGAGATTGAGATAGTGATGCATTTATGAGTTATTTGCAGTAGACAAAGTATAGGTTTGGTGCTTTGGCTTGCGAACGAATCCCAAGATCCATCACATTCATTACTATTCCTAGTCTATTGCCCCTTTCCAATGTTTCCAAATTACAAGCTCCATTTTACATGTAAATGTTATATTTTTCAGCTGCATGCTGTAATTATTTTCATCAATTCGTTATTATAACAAATAAGAGGACACAGAGAAAGATGGCGAAGAAAAGCGAAGGCTCTGTGTTTTCCTTGCAATACAAAGGCTCTGATATATAGCCTATATCTTTCTTTCGATAATCTACCCCCTATTTTTTGGCAGCCTCACGTAAGATTCATATTTTAGAGCACACCATTTATAAAATTGGAGTTCATCTATTGGGACGAAATGCAAGTTATTTTATATAAGACGTCTTAGCAAAGCAAAATCTTGAAATCTAGCAAAATTCAGACCATATTGAACACAGCTATCATACAGAAAATATTCATATGGTACATCGCATAAAATATTAAAGTATAATTAAGTGAAATCGTAAATTAAGTACATACATATACACATAATATATTTTGACACGCTAATCTCATCAACAATACTGCATGTCGATCGACTTGCTTTGATCTGGTTTTGATCAATAAGGAATACAATTACATTAAGAACAAAATGGCTCAGCTTCACTCATTGAAAGTGTTATTAAATAATCATTCTTTTAAATGAGATAAACGAGCCTGCTTGTTTTGCTTCATATATGATAGCTTATTCCAAGCATTAGCATCGTGAGATCTGAAACTCCCTTTACCAAATTCTCTCTCTGGTTTGGAGAGTGTCAAGTCAGTAGAACTATTGCGTATAGATTATAGGTATTTAAATTTTCTCGCGGTGTGATTGTTTAGTATTTTGTACGTAATGCTCACTTAAATGCTTCTTGCCTATGTAGGCCTACAATAGAGGTTTTCATTTAATGGATTCAACCACGTCCATCGATCGTACGTCTTAAGTTGCCTACTCTTGCAGCGGCACGGAAATGAAATTTTTGAACATGAGCTCCACCTTTTACACATTATTAAAAAATATAAAAAAAGGTCATCAAGTTTAGATTAATGTCAGATAAAGATTAGATTAGGGTTAGATTAAGATTATGTTAGGGTTAGAGCTCAAGGTGTGTCGTGAATTTATTGTATTGATAATTTCGGACGTGTTTAACAATTTACTCATGTAATAAATTCAAAGGTGGAGCGCATGCTGAATTTTTTGTAGTTTATACCCTTGAGCCCTATACCACGTATATATAGGGCCCTATAGGGTCCCAAAAAAACCAAAACTATTGAAATAATTTATTGTTAGAATTTAAATGTCTCGGCACTCTGCATGCTGAACCAACAAGTGCATAAAAGCATGACATAAGTAAATTTTATGCATAAAGAAGCTGTTTAAGAAGCTGCTTTTAACTCCCTGCAAGAGCAGAAAATCGTGCGCTTTACAAAGATATTTTAATTTCTTAATAAATCAATAGTTAATATATGCACCCTACTCAATATTTTACGCATCTTTGCGTTCAGCTTAGTGCTAGGGCATTAAGCTAGGGCACTAAGCCCATTATAGTTACATTACCAAAAACATAACAAGTTACAGATGCCAAAGTGTATCTAGTTACAGTTACAAGTTTACAGGTTTTTTTGTAACTTAGTTATACAAAGTTACAACTTACATTTATTGATTCCAATTAAGAACGCATATATTTCGAATGGGCCCAATGGTAATGAAACTTGCGGCAAAATTATTGACAAAATTAATAACTATTTAGATGCATCTGCACGTATCTGTAAAATTCTACCAAATCGATTTTTTAATAAAATTTGTCAACTAAAAAAACTCTGCCATTATACAGTCTGAACGAATAGATTGAAAAACGTTTATAAAAAATATATCCCTCATGCACTGGTTAGTGCATGGCTTCTGTCTTCGCAATGAAAAAACAGAAACGTGATCATGACTGGGCCAAGGCCAAGTGAAATCAGGCCAAAGACCAATTATGACGAGGCCAAGTGAAGGCGAGCGACGGCATTCCGATTAGTTCCTACTGTACGTAAATTTAACGTCAATCCTTGACTTAAATTTGTCTCTTGAACGGACTCTGTTGTGTCTGATTAAATTATTCCTGTGCAGATGATTAAGAGCTTGCCTGACTGTGTATTGATTTATTTCATGTCACAAACGTACACAAAGAGCAACGAACAAAATGTAACTTGTTAGTTTGACAAAATAACTTGTAATCGTTTCAATTTTATGGCATCTTTTGTAACTAGTTACCGTTACAGTTGCATGTTGACTTCTCAAAATGTAACGAATAATCGTTACCGTTACTGAAAAATGTAACGATTACTTGTAACTAGTTATTTTTAACGAAGTTACTTACAGCACTGATATAGGAACTATACGTTGATTGACTAAGACAGGTCTGGATTATTGGAAACGTTATTCTTAATATTATATGAGGATCGGATTATCATGTGTTTGCACTTTTTAGGATGAAATTAGTATCTCCAAAACGAAAGGAATTAAACAATTATTGTAAAATAATTAGCAGTACTTAGGCTAGCCTTCTCGTATACCAAAAATTTATGTTATCAAAAGGGGCCTTGCTTCAGATGTCCTTAAAGATATATTACTTGAACGAGGAAAAAAGCATGTTGATATATTTATCTTAGGTGCTGACACAGCTTCAACAAACTTTGTTCCAATCGAAGATCGCATTGAGAACCACAAATCTTGGTTGAAAATTTATTCCAAGTTATCTGATCAAACTGTGAAAGTAAATGGAATTGCATTGACTGGCTGGAGCAGGTATATAGGCCTATGTTTGGCTGTATTAGAAATGTGTTATTTAATAAATGTAAATATTGTAAATATTCAAAGTAAACAACAGTTATTAAATATTCAGGTTGAGCAACATTTATTAAATATTCAGGATGAGCAAATGACTGTTAGTTTCTCATCCTGGATATATTTAATAACTGTTGCTGAGTGACCCTAAATACTTATAATAAAGTACTGTTTAATAAACGAGCAGGAGTGTTTTATTAGGTTTAAAGACACGAGCGCGCAGCGCGAGTGGCTTTAGACCTAATAAAACACGACCTGCGAGTTTATTAAACGGCTTCAAACACGACTACAAATTCAATAGATATACCGCCTTATTAGTATTCTTTATATAAAAAATACTAATGAGAACACGACAACAATAGATACTGCCTTATTAGTATTCTTTATATAAAGAATACTAATTAGGAGTGTTTTATCAGGTTTAAAGCCACTGCACGTGACATATTATGGTTGACATGATTTGCCAATAAGCTTATGAATTATTAATGAGTGTTTGAATGATGTTTATCCCACTGGCTTATCCTGAATTTAAAAGATTAGTGTCACATGATATTGCGGGCTCAAATTCCTGATGGGGCCATTTTATGTGCCGGGAGATCAGCAGATCTGCAAACTTTTTTCGTAATCCGTCGTATATTTAAGGTGGTCTTCCACCCAAATTTTCCAATATTCGTTATTTTTTAGAAAAACGTAAATATGTAGTCTTCATAGCGTTCGAAAATAAAATCAGTGAAATTTTAAGAACGAAAATGTACCGTAAACCAGAGAAATCCAGCAAATTCTACACCTTCGTAGGGTAAAACCACGATTTTACCCGGAGCGATAAAGATATGCGATTGGTTTAGTCTATTGTTCCATTTTCAATTATATTGTTCTATCTAAGTTATTCTAAAATATGCAAAAACTTTAAAATCGCTTTTCTCACATGAGCATTTTGCGAAATACTAAAAACTCTCCTACTGTTCATACTGAATCAATTCGTTCGAAATTTTCAGAGTTTATTTGCTTGTTACATAGCCGTGTCATGGACCTAAAAAACGTCATATAGCAGCAATATACATTGCAAGAGTAGCCTTATAAGAACTCCTTTCTTCATATAATTTTAAAAAAGTAAAATATGAAGGCCTTATTATATTACTTGTATATTTTTTTAGGTTCATGACATAGATCGATGTATTAAGTGTCCATTAAAGCTGTTTCTAAAATCCTCGGAAAATTAGTTTGGCTTACATCATTTTTGGAGCAAACCCTATATTTTACCCTATAGCGAGGCCTATCTTAGTTACTATGGCAACGACGAATGTAAAAGTTACTGATCCTGCGTCAGCTGAGGATATTCCATCATATTTGACTCAAATATGATGATAAACGGTGGCGTAACGGGAGGGTGTCAGGGTGTCCAGTGACGGGGGGCCCCCGAACTTTAGGGGCCCCCGACAAAAATGACCATAAAAAATTTGATAGCACATCTCTGGGGAATTGAATTACGAAAAACAGACAGATAGGCAGCTACCTGTTGTGGAGTTGCTTATTAATGTGATTATGTTATAATTTTGCGAAAAACAAATAAACAATGCTGCGTAGCTTGCAAGTCAAACAAAAACGTGCAAAGTCTTAAGCTTTATACAAAATCTTAAGCTTTATACGCCTTCCGACGCCGATAAAATAAAGTATTTCGCATTTCGTACTAGTACCACTGAATTAACGATTTGTAGTCTCTTCTTGCAAGCGATGGCGCCGTTGACAAAACATCAAAAAAGATAATTTAAATGATTTATGATATTGAGATGTAATCCCTTGTAATCCGTCATGCATATCGTTTTTGCTTAGGCCAAATTAGCATATAAACCTTTCTTGTATAAGCAGTAATAATTTATTAGCGTGAATATAAATCAATTCTTCATACAATTGAAGTTCAAGTGCAAGTGCAAGCGCAAGGGAAGTTCAAGTGCTGCCTTGACTCGACCTACAGCAGTACAGTGCCACAGTGAGAGTGCACCCTTGCCATGTTCACAAATGCTGTTAATAGTATTAGTCATAATATCAACGGTATATACAAGCCATTTATGATTTTTATGGCCCATAAAAACCATAAATTATGGGCACTTGCTGGACAGTCGTATGTGCATGCGACAGTTTGGAGGTGTCGCGTGTTAGTATTGTATAAAACAATGCCCTCAACTTCCAAGACAGATTTACACGCTGATTTAAAACATATGCTATTGATAAATTTCCAGTGTCTTATTAACAAGTAACTGAAATCGGCAGAAACAGATCAGATCGCAGAAATAATCATGATAGAATCGAGACAACTGCATGTTGCCGGCATGTACTGATGTACAATTATGGTTATTGGTTTATAAATTGTTTTAGAGAAGAAAAAAAATGAAACGAAAGTATAAATCAGGATCTGCATAAAGGGCGGAAAAGAGAAGAAGTATTCAAATAGCTACCCAAAATACAGCTCCTATAGCCTCATTCTTTGAAAAAGCTGAAAATGTTGAAAGTGATGCTGAAGATACACCATCAACATCTTCCTTGGCTGATGAAGCTCAATTAAGTACATCAAATGAAGGTGTAGACAGTGGGAGCATGAAGAAAAATGCTGAAACTTCTAATGATCAATTAGGACTTTTCAATCTGGCCAATGAATAGCCTACTGACAGAGGGCACTTCCCATCCTCAATTGAAGAAGGGGATTTAAAGAGACTTATTCTTAGTCATGGCCCATGTAAACCTGATGGACCATTTACAGTGGAAGACGAACAAGGTAACATAACAACAAACTTCAGCACATCATATTATCAACTCCACAGCAAGAACAAAATGTGCCCGAGATCATGGCTTTGTTATTCACCAATATTAGCAAAACCATACTGTGAAAATTGCTGGCTTTTTGCTGATCGAAATCATCCACGTTTTGGGTTGCCAAGTGCATGGGTAGATGGAGTTCAGAGCTCAAAAAAGCGATTGCTAGCTAAGATAAAGAAACATGAAAACTCATTGCTCCATATTGAAGCATCTGCTGTATATCTTAGATGGAAAGAAGGGAAGACAAGTGACGAATCCCAAAAGCAGAACCAACGTGAAACTAATTTATGGGTGAACGTTTTGAGAACGTTTTGGGTGTAATTCTTTGTCTGGCCTCGTTAAGTCTTGCTTTGCGAGGACATGATGAAAAAGTAGGTGAAGGGCTTGCACAAGGAGGGAATTCCCTGGGTGTGGTGACACTGTTAAGCGAATTTGACACTATTACTAATGATGCCATTTTCTTACCTAAGTATGCAACTCGATACATGAGCCCCAGAATGAACTGATTCTAACAACATCTCAGCTGCTGCGAAAGTCTTTGGTCACTGAGATAAATGAATGTCCATTTTGGTCAATTGTACTGGATACCACAAGTGACATAAACAGAGTAGATCAGCTCAGTGTCAATTTTCCAATCCGAACTTCGTACTGATAGGGATTTTGATATATTGTCAATAAAATACAAATATTATTTGTGTTGAGGATTCTTTGGAGGCATAAACTCAACAATGTAATGGATTGGAGTCCATTCTGTAACCAAATATTATGTAAGTGAGGATTGCTGTTGTGTAGACATAAGTCGTAAATTCAACCTATTTTTAGTGGAGCAAAGGGGGGCCAAAAGTGGCCGATGGACGGAGGGCCCCCAGCGGTTGCGTTACGCCACTGATGATAAAACCTTAAATTGAAAAAAATGTTTTTAGGGTGGAAGACCCCCTTAAACCATCCTTTACGAATTCTTGCTTCTTTTATTCTTGTTCGAACACAGCAAACACGGCGTTTTTATAATAATAATAATAATAATAATAATAATAATAATAATAATAATAATAATAAATAATAATAATAATACTATTTATTCAGGAAGCTCCACTCACCGAAGTATTTTTCAGGGAGGTCCTGTAATATATATCTATATTATAATAACGGTTTATTGACCGAGCGTGAGGTCTGTACTGTGAAATATCAGACCGAGGTTTATTAGTATGGACCGAGCGACGAAGGAGCGAGGTCCATGCAAAAAACAGAGGTCTGATATTTCACAGTACAGACCGAACAAGCGAGGTCAATAATCGGTTTATTATATGGCTGAACTGAGTCTGTCTGAACTGAGCATATGCTTTTTGCGCGAATTAAATCGGCTATCGTCAGTTTCACTGGGTAACAATATACGGTAGGCATGCATTCTCAATCAAAAACAATTTGGTTGTTTGAAATTTTTATCTGCAAATTTTAATGTCACACAATTGGAAAATTAAAAAGTAAAAATTTTTTCTGTTTGCAAAGCAAAAATTTCCCGCCAGATAAACGACATCCGAGACACCGGTCCGGATATGGTTTTTTACGGACCGCTTGTCAACCAATCAGAATTGAGAATTTTGAAAAGCCATATAATAATACATGGTAAACTATACTATGATTATTTAAAAACTATAAAATATTTACAAATGGATTATATATAATTGTACTTCATAGTTAGAAAAATACTCAACTGAATTAGATAAATTGTTCAACTTAATTAGATAATTTTTTTTAGTTTTGATTTAAAGAGATTAAGATTAGTAGATTGTTTCAGTTCAATAGGTAATGAGTTCCATTCCGATACCGAGTGATAAGTGAATTGCTGTTTTCCCCAATTCGTACGTGGGCGTGGAAGGTAGTAGTTGTTATTCTGGCATGTTTTATGGCTATATATATATGGGAGATTGTGGTAAGGTTAAAATCAAGATGGTTAACATTTAAAGACAGAGATACAACGGTAGTATTTTCGACGTAGGTAAAGGGGTTTCCACTCAAGAGTTTCAAGGGCTTCGGTAGCGGAGGAATGGCGAGGAAGATCAAACATACTTCTCGCAGCGTTATGTTGTAGAACTTGAAGGTGGTTCATTAGAGTGGAGTTGTTTTTGTCTCCCCACACGATATCACTGTAGTCAGGCCAATAGAGGGAGGACAAGGCTGTTGTAGAGGGTGAGTCTGGCTTGTATAGGGAGTAAGAATTTTATGCGGGGAATAAGACCAAGGCGTTGATTAAACATCTTGCTGATGTTGTCGATATGTTCTGACCAGGTTACGTTTGGTTGAATTGTACCGCCTAAGTATTTGAAGGAGTCAGTTCTATCAAGTATGGAATCGTTAACCGTGATGGAGACATTTATTTATCACATTTGGCGACTTTGCGAGAACTTCTGTAAATTATAAATTTACACTTGGAGACATTAAGTGTCAGAAGATTGTCGTTAAACCATCTGCATAAGTGTTTTAGATTGGAATTTAATTTATTTCAAGATCGCAAGCATTATTTGAAGAAAAATAATCACAGTATCGTCAGCGTATCACTGGAAAAAATTTTGAAAATCCATAGAAGGTCATAGAATGGAAATTGTATCGACCTTTATTGGAAATAGAATGGATTTTGGTTATCCATAGTAATTGTATATTTCCATAGTATGGATATAGTATGGAAATAGGATGGATATACTATGGATTTAGTGGTGCAATTGCAAATTTCGTAGTATGGATTTCACTTTTTTTCCCAGTGTATAAGGATATTTCACAATGGTTGATACAAGAAGGCAAATCATTAACAAAAATAAGAAATAGTAGTGGACCCAAAACACTACCTTGAGGAACTCCGACAGGAACGTGTTTGCAGGAGGAAACAGTGTTAGCCAGGGCGGTAAGTTGATTTCTGTTGGTTAGGTATGACTTGAACCAGTTGACAGAATCATTGGAGAGACCAGATGAGGCAAGCTTTTCAAATAAAAGAGAATGGTCGACAGTATCAAAGGCTTTAGCCAGGTCAAGAAAAACAGCTCCGGTTACTAAACCCTTGTCCATGTTAGCCAAAATGGTGTCCATGAAATGTGCGAGCGCAATCTCAGTGGAAAGTTTAGGTCTGAAACCAAACTGTCGTGGTGTTAGTATTTTATTGTCGATAAGGTAGCGGTAAACTTGAGAGTTAAGGAGGTTGCTTGGTAGAATTCCGATTTGGATACAAATTTCTTATCTTAGTTCCAATTTGGATCATATGCTTGAGAAATGATCATTCAATGACTCAGCTATAGACTTTGGGTAGGTATGAGAAACACCATTAGCTTCAATACAAGATAGCGAGGAGTGAGATTTTCGGGACGAGATGTCATTTAACGTTTTCCATCAAGTACTATTGTTTCTTTTATTCGTATTGATCCGGTTCGAATAGTATTCAGCTTTGCATTTCTTATCATTAATATTGACGTAAGATTTAATCTTCTTCTACATCATCCAATGACAGGGCGAATTTGACTTAACGGCTTCGCGGTGGTGATAGTCGCGATCTTGCATGCATTGCGTTGCTTAAATCAGTAGTAAGCCATGGGGTTTGGATTCCTTTTGTTCTCAATTTCTTAATTGGAGCATGAAGATCGGCAACGTTTGTGAACAGGTCATTCCATTTAGTTACAGCGACATTAATGTCTTGTTCTTGGTCAATAAGATCGAAATTAACATGTTCAAGATCAGCGAGGAAAGATTGCTTTGAATAAGTCTTGTAGGATCTGTATTCTATGACTCTTCATGGTGCTTTACGTACACCAGCTTTAACGACGCAGTAGATGAGAGAATGGTCACTTAAGTTTACGTGTAGGACTCCAGAGGACACTATTCGATGATTACTGTTGCGATTAGGAGATCAATCAATGTACTTTAGTTCTCAAGGTTTTTTTCTTGTTTTTTTTCTTCTTTTATTTTTGTCGTTGTTGATTTTGAGTAAGATAAAAATAATAACAAAACCCCACAATAACATGGTGTGAGACTAATCCTTTAATGACTGTTGCTCATCCTGACTATTTAATGACTGTTGCCCATCCTGAATATTTAATGATTGTTGCTTACTCTGAATATTTAGTGACTGTTATTCACCCTAGATATTTAGTAATTGTTGAACATCCAGAATATGTCTAATGGTGTTACTCACCCTGAGTATTTAACAACTGTCGTTCTCCCTGAATATTTTATGTGAGCTGCAACTCACGTTAATTGTTATTTACCAATTATTCGCCGAAGGCGAGGTGCATGATTATCGGTGAATAAAAACCGAGACGAAGTCGATGTTTTTATTCGCGATAATCACCGAGCCTGAGGTGAATAATTGTTTTAGTATAATTTCATAGGTAATTATGTGGGGGAAAAATACACATTTCTTCGTCATTTAATTGACAAAACGGCTTCGGCCGCCATTTCGAAAATCGCTTATGTGATTATCGCGTTATAATCACTTCAACGGCAACCAATCAGCGTGGAGAATTTTCAATAATCACCTATGTAATTATACTAATGTCGGTTATTCTCTCCCATGCATGATGTAAATGAATACTGTACAAGCTGTGCACTCACTATGCGTTACACTTTCTGCAAACCCATGTAAAGCATCGTACATCCTAAAAGAGAGTTTAACGTCTATTTATAGTACTTGTATATGGCCGCGATTTTAAACATTCACTCGTGTTCCAAATAAGTACCAGACTTTTTGTAAATACAGAACATATATTTCCCGTTGCCTATTGAAGGAAATAAAATCTAATATTTTGTTTGTGTTTTTCTAAGGTATGATCATTATGCTACATTATGTGAAGTATTACCAGCTAGTTTACCATCCTTGGCGTTATGCCTGGCTGTTTTGAAGGAAGGTGAGCTTTTTATTTCTTTTTTACCACTTTTACCTTTTTTTACAATTTTGGTGCCAGTTGTACGAAAGGCGGATAGTGGCCGTTGGTTGGTATAGCCCAGACTAAACTTAAGTATTATTGTACATGCTGCTTCATATACTGTTGTCACGAGTATAATTTTTTTGAAAAACACCACGTTTACTTTTTCAACAACTCGTATACTTATCAATTATCTAATTTTAATATAGTATATATTATAATCATACTCTGGGAGTTTAGAACAGAACCTATAAATTAAATAATAGTGCAGTCTTTGCAATATGCATTTTTATATAGGTAATAGGTGCACATTCATGCACGTGCACGGGTATCGCACGCCATATTAAGTGTCCATGCAAGGAGTGTCCCTGCCATACACAAATTTAAAAAAAGAATAACTAGCTTAGCGTACACATATTTATTTTCGTATATTGGCTGTGTTAGTCGAATCCTCACATCAGTCGTGCTTCATTCATTCGTGCATTCTGGCGTAAAATCTAAATGAATATAATTATGTTTTCAAACCTGTAGGTGATCTATCAGATCAAACCGTACGGAGTGTGTCTGAACAACTTGGTTTTAAATCTCGTATCATTTTCAATTTTTATGATATTCCAAGGTATGACGTAGATAAAAATCTACAGTTTGTTTTGACCAGTGGCAGAATGTGGAGTCCATGCATCCGAATAGAAAAAGAGCGAAAAAACGACGCGCCGACAAGGAAAGGGTCACTTCGCACGAACAAATTCGCCTTGTGGAAAACGGGCTTTACTTTCCCCCTATAGCAGGGGTCTTCAAACCATGGGTCGCGACCCAAAATTGGGTCGCTAGCACACCCTCGAAGGTCGCAAGGCTTGTCTTGGGTCGCATGTGTCGCAATGCTTGTCTAGGGTCGCGAACTTACACTAGTAAACTTTACAAGACGAGAGATCAAGTGATAAGATGCACATATTTACATATGAATATTTCCTTGCGAAATTTGCGATTATAATGTTTTTTCACGATTATTATGAAGCACTCAAGCGCTAGATTGCTAGAATAATATGGTAAACAGGTAAACTGGTAAAGCTTTAGATATAATACCTTTTACTTCACGTAACTCAAACATTATGGCTTAGTACCACTCGGCGCGCCTTCGGCGCACGTCGTCTTCCGAAGTAGAGTCGTCGTCATACACTCGGAAGCTTTCGGTGAAAAGCCATAATGTTTTTAATTATCGAAAGTTTTATTGGCAGTGTTCAGGGTCGCGGGACACCTATGAAGCTTGGGTTTGGGTCGCCGAAAAAAAGGGGTGAACACCCCTGCCGTATAGTGTGTTCCTTTTCTATGGTCTTTCCTTCACGTAGATACGTCACATCTTGTCTAAGTCTTTAGTAATTTTTTATGGTAAACATGTTTCAACCCCATTTGGAGTTATTTTCAACCAAATTTTACTGGGAGTTAAATTACTCCTTGCGCATATCAATATATTCACTGTGTAAAAACGAATTGCTTAAAATAACGCAAAAATCGGTTGTCTTGGATTCAAAACGAATGTGAGACAGTTAATTTGTCGGTTGTTTTAACCTATTTGATTGTGCAGTGTTTTTTTTTTTCATTTATAATTCCAATTTCCATTGTGTACACCGTTTAATGGACTATTATGCGACTTACTTGTTCCAGTATATACTCAGCCATGGTCTATTACAAAATCGAGCATTGTGATTGGTTACTTAACCATGAACCATTACGTAACGGACCACGGTTGAGAAAAATGATTGCGTGGAGAACTTTCCTTTTTGCAAAAGTTTCGGGGAAATTGTGTAGAAAATTTTTTGCCCGAAGAACCAAAAAAACTACACAATGGTTTGAAGACTTCTAAAGTATATATATGGACTAAAAATTTAAAACTGTATTTTAATAATAAATCTGCTTTTACTTGCCACAAAATATGACACGAGGACACTGATGGAATTGCTAAGCACATACTTTTGTACATATATATGTATACAAGCAAAAACGTTGAAATCAGTACAAGTGCTTGTAATTACTTAACGATATTTTCCTATAGTCTCGAGTGTTTTCTTGGATTTTATATTTATAGCAGTAAGATTTGAAGGCTTCTTCCCCTTTAAAGTCTTTCAAGTCTTTTTGCGCTTCGAAAGTTCTCGCCTAAAAGCCACTTTTCTTTAGGTTAAATGTTGTGTATGCATTTCAGGTGATAATAGTGTTTTACGTAAGCGTGTGATGGTTGAAAGAAATCATTTAAACGCTCGTGCATGCTTTTAAATTTTATGTGAATCTTTCCAATAGGCAATTCCAGCTTTTAATTTATGCGTGCAGGGGTGCTAAAAATTTCAATAAAAACTGCCGAAACAACCGAAATATTTCAATATTTACAAGTATAAGTTATCACTCCGTGTTCGCACGGCCACCATTTTTATTTTTTCAGCATAATCAGCAATATGATATCTTACTTCCCATCACCCCCTGCACGCATAAACTAAAAGCTGGAATGCCTATTGTGCTTGCAGCTAGTCTGTATTTTGAGTAGTGTACCAGGTGATCTTGATACGCGGAAAAGTACTGGCACTAGTTGTCAAATAGAAATCCATTTTATGATTAAAACAACTGAATATCTCCTGTAATATACTTTATTTCGATTCCATATTTTTGTCAGAGCTATAGTTCTCATAACCAAACATAATTACAAAATTTCAACTAGTTTCATAAAGAATAGTGAAAGATATAATTGACTGAATACATCAAAATGGATTTCTATTCGGACAACCCTTTCTGAGCGCTGATTGGCTAAAATACGAACACGAGATCACCTGGTATACTAAAACAATCAGACAACTCGGCCTCCGTTATCTATGACGAATAGTCGTCGACTATTCGCACATAGGTTGAATGATTGCGACAAGAATTTGCCACGCCCTTTTCACTATATAATGACAGGTCATGAGCAAATTTTTCCAATTTCTAGAGATCTCCAGAATAGAGATGAAGGAAAGTTTCTTGGTCATAGTGTTTATGGAATAGTCTTAGTTCTACGGAGAGCATACAACGCTTTAGAATCTGTTGAGAAGCGGTAAGTGAGGTTTGGTTTTTCCACTGATGTCTGAGACGCACTATAGTATGGTATTAATATATCAGCCGGTTTTCCCCCATCCAGACCGCTCTAACACTCAACCGGACGAATCTGGTTTCGTGCCAAACCAAAAAGAGGAGTGTAACACGTTTTAAACTAAAAACTCTGCCCAAAAATTAAAATACGATGGCTCAATACAGTTTTTAAAAAAATGGAAAATTCACGATTTAGATGCGTATTTTTGGACAATTATTACTTGCTGATAAACAAAGAGTACTTTACTTATATAAAGCAACTTGGAAAGAGTATCAATTTTTGCACAAACGTTCCGCAACTGCCGTTGCTATGGCAACAATGACGTTTCAAGATGGCGGATATTTTGACTTTAAAGTAATTTAACTCGTAAACGACACCGGTGACCCCCAAATTTTATGTTGAAAAATTATTTCTCTTTATATTGAATTACGTTGACAATTTTAAAAAATTCTGTGGAGCCGAAATTTTTAAAATTACGTAAAGGTGATTATTCATAATAATTTGTTTTTGGCTCCACAGAATATTTTTTTTAATTGTCAACGTAATTCAATACTTTTTAAAATAAAATTTGGGGGTAACAAATGTCGTTTACGAGTTAAATTATTTTAAACCAAAATATCCGCCATCTTGAAACGTCATTGTTGCCATAGCAACGGCAGTTGCGTAACTTTTGTGCAAGAATTCAAACTCTTTCGAAGTTGTTTGATATAATTGAGGTACTTTTTGTTTATCAACAAGTAATAATTGTCGAAAAATACGCATCTAAGTGAATTTTCCATTTTTTTAAAAACTGTATGGAGCCACCTTAATCTAACGATGGCTAGAATACGAAAATGAATTGCATCAACTTCAAACGACTTCGTCCTATGCACAATGTACACTAGAATTGGCCAGATATTGACTGTTTGACCACATGCCGACTCTGGTTATTAGTTGGGCCCATCGCATAAATTTGGAAACGGGTGAAAGTCTCCATGGCGGTTTCAATCATCGAGGAGCTTGTTCTTGTACTCATGATAAAGCACAACGTCAACGAAGTAGGCCCTGTCGTAATACAAGCAAAGTTTTCATGTTTTTCATATAACGCAGCCTCCACCAATGCAAAATACTGTCAATTTTTACTTATAGTATACCAGCTTGGTTTAATCACAGACAAACTGTGACATCAAAGATCAGTATTTATCAACTAACCATATCTCTTCAAAGAATTGAAAGGTAATTACATCTTTACATTTACGTTAATATAATGTGTTCCTTCCCCCCCCCCCCCAAAAAACTTTTATCCCCACACTCCTTTTTTTGACAATGTGCACTTATTCCCGGAAAAAACAATCAGAATATTGTTCCTATTTTGAAAAAAATGGATCATTAACAAGGTGACGCCCAACTTCAAAAACCGATACCCGCGGCTTTTAACTTGTTTATATACTCATCAGACCATTACTCATAAGCCCCATTCGGGATCTCATAGGGTCCAAAATATTGTGTATGGACCAGATTTTTTTCAATTTTCTGTGATTTACATAACACTAGTTATAATTTAAGGGTCAACCAGTATTGTTCAAGACATATTTTCCTTCCAGAACACCTTTTCAAAATACTAACCCAAGCATGTCAAAAATAGTCTACATTTACAAGGGCAATTTCAACCCTTTGGCACATTTTTCCCTTGAATGATTTTAATTCTAATATAAAGACTATAGATAAAACTTTGATTTAAAGCTAGTTTCAAGTGATTAGCATACCCTAAATTTTAGGCTATACCTCAAAGAAGATAGGTCATTTCAACATAAACATTGAAATATGGGTATACTGACAGCTCTGTCACACGTGTAGTTTGACATTAGCAAACCTTCTGAAACATTTTAATGAAAGTATAATTCAAAGTTCACATTTTCACTTACTTCTTAACATCTGTTTTAATCCAACTAGCTCTGTAGGCACCAGCAAAATTTAGTGTTGATGTAAATATCCATTTTGTTCATGTTTCCCCGGTGAAAATATAGTCTATTCCAAATAATATTCTTCGAAAGTCTATATTTTTGCTCTTCGACGCGAAAATGGAAACTCAAAGAAGAAATGAGCCGCTATTTTTGGTCAGCGTCGACAAATTGCCTACCTGTTCGAAGAAGCGGAATAGCTCCATTTTGGAACTTGATCGTTTCAGCCCGGGCTGAGATTTCGCCCCGGTTTGAAACAAATTTCAGTTTGGTTAACCGGGTTGAAATTCATCCCGGGTTGAAATTCAGCCCATGCAGGCTGAAAACTTCCCATGTAATCAGCTCCTCAGTTGTGTTCTTTTCATATTAAAAATATAAACATCAAAAACGCCAGTAACAACCGTAGTACAACAAAAACGACAGCAATAGCAGCCACAAACATATCAGTAACAAAAACCACAACTCTATACGTTTGTATTTAGTTCTGCTTTGATTTTTACGTTCTCTAGTGCAACTAAACGGCTCACAGAATTAACTAAGCTGGTGAAGAAAAAGTTTTCTATATTTTATAATGATGAAATGACTAATGAATGGATATGGGACAAAATAAGAAGCAAATTAACCCGTGCTGAAGAAATGAAAAAGTATTTAAAGGAAATTCAGAACGCTACCCATCAGACTGAGCAGTATGCATTGAAACCTCGGATTCAAGGCCGTTAAGCTTGTAGGGAGTGTCAGCTCTAGAAAAAAGTTGCAGATAATGACAGAAGCTGGGCGTCATCCTTCCATCCAGTTTGGAACTATATGTGCAGTGTAGTTGGCCTTCAACATGAGTTCATTTAAAATCGACTTTATAATTGGAAACGCTGGCTTGCTCCCATTATTTTTCGATTCATATCAAATTTTAGAATGAGACGTATAGTGATTGAACGTGTATGTAGCAGTGTAAGCATGCATGTAAAACATTTCCACCTATAAATACCGTTCAGTTTCATTATAACGCTGTATAATTGTCGTCCTGGTGTTGCCAAGACAATCTTAGCCAGAAAGCTAGCAATCTGTATTACAAGTCTGTTTACGATTTAATTTGTAGAAAATTGCTGGTTTTAGTGCGCGGATATTTAATGTCGTATTACGATACTGTAACTATACTTACTTATAGAAAGCGAAAATAATGCTTCAAACAAAATATCCGGCGTTTTGGAAAACAATTCCTTTTTCCATGAAGAAAAAGTTGGTGAAATAGTAGAAAATAGTATATCGTAATGCTTAAAACAAAATTTACGTTTCGCAAGAAAGTTTCATTTTCCCTGAAGACAAATTTGATAAATTAGTGGAATATACTATAGCCGCTCGCTTTTGTAGATCTCTCAGTTATTCATTTTCGCTGCGCATGATCCCGCTACTGATCTGTGATCTTTACTGTCTGCTGAGGCAGCAGTGCTGACAATGCAGCTCGAGATAGTTGCTCAATTTTCCTGGGAAATAAGATTAATATTAAACGATTCTGTAAAATTTGTTAAATCTGGCCTCCTCTACAGCATCTCAGGCCAAACCCATATAGAGATACCTGCGGAGGAGACTATGTTAAATCATACGGGGTGGTCCTCAATCTATAGGGATGCAACGACAGTTAGGCCGTGCGTCACAATATATACTGCTTTGCCTTTAGAAATTCCAGAGATTTGTAACTGCCTTTCTTGTTTCTTGTACTAGCGTCTAGGTCTATATAGCCGCACACACCAACGGCTCGGTCCATGATAGCTAAAATGATTGATTTATTGTTCAACCAGCGGCGAAACTTCGGTATTACAACTGGGGGGGGGGGGAGGTGTTAGCTTATTTTGCCCGACAAAAGGACGTGGCTGAAGTTGAGCCCGAACGACGATCTAAAAAAACGTTAGACTATGCCTATAGTCTATCTGAATAACGATTTTAATCTGTTTAATCTAAAAGCGAACATTTAACATAATGATTGCTCTAAAATATGCTACATTTTCAGAATTCAATTATATTAGAGTGGATCGATATACCGGATATATCCGGTATACCGGTATTTGTTTAGATACCGGTATTGGCGATATTGACAATTTAAAAATACCGACATTTCGGTATTTTGCTGCCTAATACCGAATTGAAACGCTATTTCAAGTCAAACTTGCTTACAATCGCGTTTAGAAAGCAAAGTTAATACTCACAGATGGACGATTTTGTTCTTACAGTTCTAGCAGCTTTGGGTTAGCAATACCAAGACGCCTTGTTTATTAAATCGCCTTAAGCTAATTCCGCAGTAATTGTTCCCGAAATGAGAATGTGCTGAAACTTAACAGGCATGGAGTTTATGATATACTTAAAGTAAAAGCACACAAAAAAGTCGGGGTCACCGAACTCGTATACCACCTTTACCCCAATATGGCGCCATTTTGACGCTCATTACGAGTAACAGCAAACTCACAACAGCCCGATATTTATTGATGTTTTTAGCGCCGATTTTGCTTTAGTAATATCTTGTAATTATTTTTGAAAAAAATATTGTGTTTTGAGCGAAATGAAACTACTAACGTGTACAATTCTGATCCACAAATGTCTTTTGCACATTTCTTTATATATCTTTTTTTGAGAACATGCATTGATAAAGCTCCAGAAATGATTTTTCTTTTAATTTCGAATATGGAATGTAAAATGCATTAAAGAAATAAATTATCACTTAAAAAACGGGGGTCACCGATCTTTTTAGGGAATTGTGGCATTAAAACGTGAAATACAAATAAATATACTACAGACACAGGACCCTAGCTACACTTTTGTATGCCTTTTTTGAAAACATTGATTTTAACGTAATTCTTTGCACGAATGTAACCAAAGATGTTTTGAAGTAACATAAAATTGTCATAAAATGATATTTTTTTAAACGGTACGTATAATGGATGAAATTATAAGTTATAAGATGTGCGCAGTAAAATTGCGCAATGCAAAACTGCGGAATTACCTTAATCGGAAATTGAATATAAATGGCGAAATTTTTGAAGGAAAATTTCGATAAAAAAGAAACCTTTGATTTTGGAAAGTGGGAGTACTAACATTTGCAAAGCAGCGAAAACCTTTTCAAGAGGGTCTGAATGGGGTTAACCCATTGAACTATAAATAAACTGGAAGGCTAACTCAGGGGGGGAAATTGAAGCCAGTGTATTTTAGTTTTTCTGAGTTATGAGCGGAAATACTCAACACTGAACGTTCGGCTATATATCAAATTGAAGCTATTGAAAAACGCTATTTGGTGTAGAAATTTCAAGACTTTAGCTAAAAGGGAAATATTTAAAAATTACAAACATAATTACCGAAAATTTCCCGTTTTGTAGTTGTTTTTGTATTTTTTAAATATTTTTCTTTTCGCTGAAGTCTTGAAATTTCCTCACCGAATAGCAATTTTCAATAGCTTCAATTTGATATATAGCCCAACGTTTGGGGTCAAGTATTTCTGCTCATAACTCAGAAAAACTATTTCGGCTTCATCAAATCATAGGCCTTCACCAGAGGAGGAGTGGTCACTATACCGTGATGCATTGCGATTATTCCAATTAATTATATATTATTGATTTTCCACGAGCGGGCGCTCATTGTTCGCTTGACCTTCACTATGAAAACAACATGAGTGAGAAATATAGAAATATGGCGGATTTTGTAAAGCCGACCACCGCCATAAAGCTTCAGTTTTGGAAGGACACGATCTTCTTTTTGTTCATTGTGTATCGTCAGAGCCTACGCTGTTGGTTCCTATGGGTTACCGTGTATTCAGTTTTGAATGCCGTGAGATTCACATCAGTTTTTTGGATAGTTTGCATATCCGAAGAATCGCTATTTTAATTGTCTATTTGTCTCTAAAAGTTGATGAAATATTCGCCGATTACAATAGCCCAGCATTGATAGAGATACATTCCAGCTGTGCTTTTAGGGTAAGTCGTTTGCTTTAATCGTTAAAGCGAATACAAAGGCAATGTACCTACACAATGCTTTTTCTATGATTCAGATTTTTATAGCCAATGTTGGTAACAATATTTGTGCTTTCCGTTTTGAATATATGCATATAGAGCTAAAATAGTTTAAGTTAGAGAAGCTTTGACTGTTCATTTGGTTTGATCATAGAGGTTTGATTACTTTGGTATTCTATTACTAAAGTAATTTATTTTATTATCCATTGAATTGCATGAGTCACATTAATTGCACCATTTATTATTTTACTCTGTCTCATGCCAGATTGTTTTACTCTGTCTAATGGCAGCTGGCCTATCTGCCCATGTGTCTAGTTAACCCATTGAGTCGCACTGTCCCTGCATGCGCCCTGCTTTAATATTGTACTTTGTTAAACTGAATATTGTTTTCATATGTTGCAGTTCTCTGACCTCAGTGATCTCGGGCAAGATGGAACAGGACAATCTATTATCTTTGAGAATGTTATTTTGTGGGATTTCGATATTCTGCCATCCCCACCTTCTCAAACAATTCAACCTCGAGATCCAGATACTGTTAATGAAGAGTTGGACAGTGTGCTGTCACCAATAAATTTACAAGGGCAAACTGGATGTAACTGTGATCTACAACCAATAAATTTACAAGGGCAAACTGGATGTAACTGTGATCTACAACCAATAAATTTACAAGGGTAAACTGGATGTAGCTGTGATCTACAACCAATAAATTTACAAGGGCAAACTGGATGTAACTGTGATCTACAACCAATAAATTCACAAGGGCAAACTGGATGTAACTGCGATCTACAACCAATAAATTCTGTGTGCTTGGTGGATATTACTCTACAGTACAGCATTGTTGATTGTGAAAAGTGGACCATGGGACAGAGATGATCCAAGAAACAATTATAACAGTGACATAGATTACTAGAATATTGTAAATTATTTTATTTTATTATGGGTCCCTACATATTTATTTTATTATGGATCCCTACATTGTAAATTGTGATGTTATTCTGAGTGTGCATGCACATCGGGCAAGCTGAAAAGTTTGCCTGACCACGGTGGGAATCGAACCTGCGATCTTTGGGATATTAGTCCAATGCTCTACCAACTGAGCTTGGCTCGGTGTGAATGCACACTCAGAGTAACATCACAAACATCATATTCACCTGAGTACATAACACCAACACACACAAGAAGTATATTGTAAATTGTTTTTATTTTATTATGGATCCCTACATATTTTATCATGGATCCCTACAATTATAACGGTGACATAGATTACTATATAGGATATTGTAAATTGTTATTATTATATTTTATTATGGACAAAATTTTTCCATAACTAGATCAAAGCTTTATTTTCCTCAAAGGTCCATATTTTATGGTTTTTCACTGGTGACTTCTTTGAAGGAGTCAGCCTGATCTTTCTGCTAGGAAACTACAAAAAAGTATGTCATTCACTAAAATGGAAATTGAGTCACAGATGACATATGAATCATGCATGAATGTTTATACACTGCAGAATAATGTTACACAGAGGTGTTACACTGAATATACAAACAGGGATGGATTTACTGGGGAGGGGGGTGCACACCCCCCCTAGCCCTAGCCAGAGGGGGGTGCTATTTTTCATGATAAAGCAAAAAAGACCAAATGAGATACAGTAATTTGAGTAATAACATGATGATAAGTGAACTGGGAACAACAATTACAATTCAAATACAGTAGTTGATGGGCGGGCGGCACACGTGACCGACACAAGTCGGCACCAGAGCACCCCCCCCCTCTACCAGATCATGCTGGATCCATCCCTGTATACAAAGACAATTTAAAGAATAGAATAGCAAAGAATAACAAAGTTTTAAGTACAATTTCGTCTACCATAATTGTTTTTATTATACCTTCGCTGATGTGCCAGGACTTTGAATGGGCCATTCAATTTAATATATTAAGCTGCCTCCCCCTCCCTGTTGAGGGGTCTGGATATCCTATGGGGGGGAGGGGGTTTTTACCTTAAATTTTCCTAGAGGGTAGCTTAAGAAATTTTCAAAAAATAGCAAAAATTAGGTGTTTTACTATCCAAAAACGATATCCTAAAGGGGGTATATGAAGATATCCATGGGGTAACTTCCAAAAATCACATCCAAGGGGGTTCTATAAAGGGACCCCTCAATAGGTTGAAGGGACCCCTCAATAGGGGGGGGGGGGTGCCTATATTAAATGGAATGGCCCATTATATGAACCAAAGCTGGACTGAATGAACTTTCCACACGAGATATAGTCTTCAGGTTTTTCTTGTTGGTTTTTCTGGCGTATCAGTAATTTGAGTTTCCTCATTTTCTAAATCATGATCAACAATAACAACATCGCCATCATTAATAGATTCCATTTTTTGCTCCAATTAATAAACTCGAATTCTATAAAAAAATGATACAATCAGGAACAATATGTTAGAAAAGCTGGCTTGTTTACGTCGCGCTCGCGCCATATTTCCTGTAGAGTCCTCTTTTCCCGCGATTGGCGACAACAAAAGCAAAATACCCCATTTTCAAACAACGATTACTCGTCGGTTTCAGGGGCCTTTTTATGTTTTAAAGTACCAAGAGAAAGAGTAACCCTTACTGAATACAATGATGTGAATTTTATTGAATTTCCCGATTTATAAACCATTTAGCCCCCTGCGTATATCAAAGCCGTTTTCGTGTCGTGTGCACTATACCCGAAATATACCCCATTTTCAAACCGCGATAACTCGTCGGTTGGAGGAGGTTGTTAATGTTTTAAAGTATCAGCTAAAACCTTGACCTTTCCGAATTCAATGATGTGAATTTTGCTGAATTTCCCGATTTATAAAGTATTTAACCCCTGGCGTATATCAATGCCATCTCTTTTATAGCACCGAAATATACCCCATTTTCAAACCGCGATAACTCGTCAGTTCGAGGGGATTTTTTGTGTTTTGAAGTATCCATAGAAAGAATAACCCTTCCTGCATTCGATGCTGTAAATGTTGTTGAATTTCCTGATTTAAAAAGCATTTAATCCCCAGCGAATATCAAAGCCACTTTTGTGACATGTGCACTGACCCGAAACCAAGGGTAATTCAATGCGTGATTAACATAACTGAAACATGATACGACAACCACATAAACAAAAATCGTGCATTTAAGGTCACAAATAAAACAATTATAAAAACGTACCTTCCAAAAATCAAAATTTTCAGAGTGAAAAATCGCGATAAACAACCACAATTTTTCGACAAACATCTTTCAAAGACTCGCAAAATTCAATTCCGAATATTAATGAGAAGCGATGCATTGTGGTATAGTGACCACTCCTCCTCTGGGGCACAGAATAGGAAGTTATACCAGAAGCGTAACTTCCTATTCTGTGTCTGGGGGCAATCCATTGAACTATAAATAAACTGGAAGGCTAACTCAGGGGGGGAAATTGAAGCCAGTGCATTTTAGTTTTTCTGAGTTATGAGCAGAAATACTCAACACTGAACGTTGGGCTATATATCAAATTGAAGCTATTGAAAAACGCTATTTGGTGTAGAAATTTCAAGACTTTAGCTAAAAGGGAAATTTTGAAAAATTACAAACATAATTACCGAAAATTTGCCGTTTTGCAGTTGTTTTTGTATTTTTTAAATATTTTTCTTTTCGCTGAAGTCTTGAAATTTCCACACCGAATAGCAATTTTCAATAGCTTCCATTTGATATATAGCCCGACGTTTGGGGTCAAGTATTTCTGCTCATAACTCAGAAAAACTATTTTGGCTTCATCAAATCATAGGCCTTCATCATAGCAGTTAGCCTTCCAGTTTATTTATAGTTCAATGGGGCAATCTCGTTCCCCGAGCCTGCGATCCTTGGGAAGGAAACGAAGGCTCTGGGATGACGAGCCAGACAGCTCCAGATTGGCAGCTCCAGATTGGCGAATCTGGAGCCAGCTCCAGATACAATTTCAATCTGGAGATGGAACGACTGGCTTGTAAACAAACTGCTTTGGACGCTTAACTACCGATGGATATTCAATTCTTTTGAAAGACCATTTTTTCTTGTCATATTCCTTAGTACGTGATGGAAAATGAAAACATTATTCCGTTCCGTTCGTCCATGGTAGCTTCTGAAAGATCACTGTTTTTTCTGACAACGGGAATGGCCAGCGGTCGGATAGATCGCAAAGCTTGTTTAAAACCTTATTTTGTTACCTTTATAATGAAAAACTTAAAAATTTGATGGATGACCATTCTGGAGAATGTATTCAAAAGTAATTTCATGCGGTCAACTTATTTCCACGTCGCGAGACCGCGATAAATAACTCGCGCAAAGTTGAACTGTCTAATTTCGCGCACGGCCCGGCTGTGTTAATTTTATCCTTCCGTGAATACAACAACTTTGGTATCCGTAAATTTACGCTTTCGAGGAGTAAGAAATTGATATGTTGATGACATAATATCATTTGTTGCGCTTTTCTGAAGAACTAACGATATAAACATGTTTAATATCCGAAACACACAACGCAGACGAGATCGCTAGAAACGGTGTTATTATGCGGCTCAAGTCGTCGAAAGGCAATAGCATGTCAAATGCGTCTAGCATCGTCTAAATTGCTTCGCAAATTTCTTGCCAATTTCGCCCTGCCTCGAATTTCTAAAAGATGACCCTTCTAGAGAAATATTCATACTATCATATTTTACAGCATTTGAAACTTTAGGATGCATATCCACCATGAGCAACTCATGAAAACACTAGCATTCGTTACCGAGGTGAGAAATCAACTTTCAAGAGATGTGAAATATTACACCTAAACAATATTCCGTGTTATCTGGCACGTGCAAGACATTTAATAATCTCAGGCGAAAACCGTATTAACCGTAATATCACGCATAGGTTTATATACGCTGTATTCTTTTTTCAACACATAAGCTAAAACTTAATATGAGGGGTGTGTTTTAAGCTTTCCTTATTAACATGATCAGCGCAATCGCAAATTCAAACCTACGCGGCTACGCATCCTTTAAAAATATTTTATCTTTGTGAAAAAGCGTCGTGTTTTCTCATGTATTGAAAAAATACAGCGCATACCGAAACAAGGAAAATTGCCTTGTTCCTATTCCTCGGCACTTTTAAATTCCTTGCCATGTCCTCAATCCTCATTGCATTTGCATGCCGACATTATAATTAATACGGTTTTCCCCTGAGATTATTAAATGTCTTGCATGTGCCAGATAACACGGAATATTGTTTAGGTGTAATATTTCACATCTCTTGAAAGTTGATTTCCAACCTCGGTAACGAATACTAGTGTTTTCATGAACTGCTCATGGTGGATATGCATCCTAAAGTTTCAAATGCTGTAAAATATGATAGTATGAATATTTCCCTAGAAGGGTCATCTTTTAGAAATTCGTAGCAGGGCGAAATTGGCAAGAAATTTGCGAAGCAATTTAGACGATGCTAGACGCATTTGACATGCTATGGCCTTTCGACGACTTGAGCCGCATAATAACACCGTTTCTAGCGATCTCCTCTCCGTTGTGTGTTTCGGATATTAAACATGTTTATATCATTAGTTCTTCAGAAAAGCGCAACAAATGATATTATGTCATCAACATATCAATTTCTTACTCCTCGAAAGCGTAAATTTACGGATACCAAAGTTGTTGTATTCACGGAAGGATAAAATTAACACAGCCGGGCCGTGCGCGAAATTAGACAGTTCAACTTTGCGCGAGTTATTTATCGCGGTCTCGCGACGTGGAAATAAGTTGAGCGCGTGAAATTACTTTTGAATACATTCTCCAGAATGGTCATCGATCAAATTTTTAAGTTTTTCATTATAAAGGTAACAAAATAAGGTTTTAAACAAGCTTTGTGATCTATCCGACCGCTGGTCATTCCCGTTGTCAGAAAAAACAGTGATCTTTCAGAAGCCACCATGGACGAACAGAACGGAATAATGTTTTCATTTTCCATCACGTACTAAGGAACATGACAAGAAAAAATGGTCTTTCAAAAGAATTGAATATCCATCGGTAGTTAAGCGTCCAAAGCAGTTTGTTTACAAACTAGTCGTTCCAGCTCCAGATTGAAATTGTATCTGGAGCTGGCTCCAGATTCGCCAATCTGGAGCTGCCAATCTGGAGCTGTCTGGCCACTGAGCTATACTATATTACTGGAGGACCTGCTCCTATACTTCGTTCAGTCAACAAAGTGTCCGCAAAAACATGGCGGATTTTGAGTGAAAATGACGCCATTTCCATGACTACTGGTCCCTAAATTCATGGTAATTGCCACTGAACAAGGCTCAATTATGAGCCCGCCACAGTTTTCACCCCCCCCTGGTTTTTGAAAAAATATTTCGGCTTTTTGCAGTGAAATGAGTGAATTCTTGTTGTTTTGTTTTGTACGTTTCTGTATAAATCGGCATCCTCTTCGAAGCTCAAATATTTATTCTCGCCAAAAAACAAGGAACAAATATTCAAACCTGTGGGAAAGACGTACTTTGTATTTCAAAAGGTAAACGACATACATATATTTTAATATTTATTTTATTGTAGCCTTCTTTAGTTGTAAATACTATTTTGTTTTATTATAAAATATGTTGCGATACAAAACAGCCTACTTGTTCTGTGTAATGGAGAATTTTAGCATCAAGTATACATAATTGGGTTGTACTATTAAACCACGAAATAAGCTAGCTTTGTTTATTATATATTTATAGTGAGAAATTAAAGCAAATCTCGAAGCTATTAAATAGTTGACACTTTGGATTTTAGGGGATGTTTACACTTTACACTACATGTATAGCAGCTGTACATGAAGGGCCAGCCTGCAGGGGTCGTTTTCGCTTTTCACCTCTTGTTTACATGAGGAAAATCAACCCACAACTCATCTATTTTATTCAACCAAGTCCAATTAAATCATACTCCAACCCACAGACAATTGAATATTGTTCTTGAGAGTTAAAGGGTATCTGAATTGAAAAAAAACTTGAAACAAAGGCTGAGTTTGATGTGAACACAGTGGGTTATTTTACTTAGCCCTAACCACGGATTGGTATTTTACAATCCATGGCCCTACTAGGTGAGCCAGCTTTATAGAGTACTTTAATTCTGTTGAATTTATATTGGGAATTTTGTGGTGACCGTGCTATAACCATGAACTACTGTATAAAGTCGAGTTGCAAGTTGTAACTGCAAATTAATGTAATTAAGGTGTATGCATGCACAGGATTGTGGACATGTCACACTCAATATAACTAAATGTCAAAAGTAGTGTGACTTGACGAATATTTCAAGTGTGAATTTTATGACCTACAGTACAGTATAACCAACCTAAAAATATTGTTGCATCTTTTGCAGTTCAGGTCTAAAAATGTACATACAAAAACCCTTCATCATTTAGTGATGAACATCAGCATTGTCATGTAGAACCCTTTTCTCACCAAACACTTAATATGTAACAGTTGCATGGTGGTCAACATCAGAAAAATTTGCACAAGAATATTAAGACATTTAAATACCTTTCCATTCTATATTTTTCTCATAACATATTGGTCTGTTCCAAACATGTAGTTTTTAGATAAAAATTACCTGCTTTATATTTCTATAGACCAAGAAGACTAGACTGTTAAGTGAGAGGTATCGTGCCTTTGAGGAATCTTATGTATTGGTGGAGTACTGCATATGCATGGTCATGAAATTACTATGTACGTACATGTACTAGCTGCTATCACCATATGCATGGTCTGAAAATTGGAGGGTTTTTTTTACCAACCTGAGACTGCTGATCATGCAGTAGGAATCAAAAGAAAAGAAAACATTCAATAAAACACCAGAGTAAAGAAAATAAAACATTCTTGATAACATATACTAGATTTGGTAGAATGATCTAATTCAGTTACTTTTTGGGAAAATTTTTAAATATGGACTTGTTATATATCTCATAATTTTCTGGGTCGGCACGAAGCTCTAGGAAGATGTTCTGTGATCGGTTGATTATGACAATGACAAAAGAATAAGCTATTGAATGGATTTTCTAAAGAACGAAGCAAGATCAATATATTCCTTTGGTTTATGTAAGTCAATTACGTCTTGTGTCATTGTCATAATCAATCAATCACAGAACATCTTCCTAGAACTAATCGTGTTTACTGAATTTTCTCAGAAGAAGATCCATCACTTAACAGTATTTTCAGTGGTCAATTAACGAACAATGATTTGATGTTTGGAAAAAGAGGTCACAAAATATGTTAATGAATATTTTAATAGATTTTATATATTTACATAATAATTTAGTATTTATAAGAACAAGTATATATAATCATTGGAAATTGTATTGAATAATTTGAATACGAAATATATTAAAGAATAACATTTATTTAAATTAGAAAAATAAACAGTATGGAAATATTGCACAATAAGGGACTGGTCATAATTTAGCAGGAGGGGTGTGGAGGTGGAAACAATGGGGGGGGGGTCACATTTTTTAGCCAGGAAAAAGGGGGGTCATAAAATATTAGACAGTTTATGAAGGCGGGGAGGGGGTCTGCTGTTTTAGTTCAATTAATTGTTTTATACATGCCTTCTCACATTTTATATTCTTGAGTTGCATTGAAGAAAATTGATTCTTTAAACTTAGAATGAAAAGTTTGAAAAAACTAAAGTTTTATATATGACTAATAATGTATTGGTATAATATAAATTTTAGTATTTGATTTAAAGCGCAACTAGAAAATTAGAAAATTTAAAGTGAAATTAGAAAATTTATTGAATGCAGGGTTTAGTAGTAGGTAGATACATTTTTACTGACACGAGCAAGAGAGAGGGGGGGGGGGCATTATTTTTCCGGGTTATGGCAAAACTGGGTCACAAAATATCATTCCTTAAAATTTTGAATTACACCTCCCCACCCCCTGATAAATTATGACCAGTCCCTAATCAATTAAAATATCAAACCAGGCAATTTGGATCAATTAATAAAGTTTTAGACAACATATTTTTCATGTGCCAAAATATGAAAATAAATATGAAACATGATGGCACATATGGCAAGTTTGACCAAGTTAGTTTTACCATTAATATATAATGGAAAATTAAATTGGACTGTGTATATTGTAAGTATACTGAATGCCAACCAAAAGAAGAGTACGTTGCATCATAATTGCACTTGACTAAGTGGCGAGTCAATGGACCATATATTGAACTGCAAATTAAGTTCTGTATTTCTTCTATAAAAGCTTATTAAATTAAACCAAGATGTGCCCTTTTATATGTTTTTATTCTTTAATTGAATAAGTGCAATATTGCATGACTGCATGTGTTAATAAATGACAACAGGCAATTTACCCAATGAAAACTAACTGGGAGAATGTACAGATTAATTTTGACCTGCATGATTACTTTTATGAAGTGTAAAAAATTGTGCCTAGATGAGTTTGAAAAACCAGGAAACCAGGTTAAAGTTACCATGTACATTAAGTTAATTTTCTTTGGGTAAATTGCTGACTGTTGTCATATTAAATGTCCAATTAGTACAGTTTGTTAGAACTGTATGCTAGCCAGGCCCTGCACTACTTTGCCTGCATTGTCTTGCAATGTGGCCTGGCTTGCCACATTGATAACATCTTCTTTTAATCTTCCTATTACAAGACAGAATATCATAAAGTATTTTAATCTGAATTTAATTACTAGTAGTTAATTATTACAATACAAAAAACATTTTCTAAACTTACTTGCTTGATCTCGATTGTAAGCTGTAAACAGAGAAAAAGGAAAAATGTACTATTGACTTGTAACTGACCAATTAACAAGCATGTGGTAATATAGAAATTATATACTCCCCTAGACACAGTTATAGCCCAATAGGTAGTATGAGGTAGGATTAGTCTTTATTTTTAATTTTTTTGAAAAGATAAAAAGAAAACACATACGTTTCTTACAACTTGTTGATTTGTGTGTGGCCTATATGACACGTCAATAGGTTATATGTTTAGTTTAACATCTTTCAAATAACAAACAATTTTAAATAACAGACATGCATTACCTTTAAATTCAACCTTTTGCCTTTGGTTTTCTTTCACTGCCAACTGACCTATTAAAAATATGTACAGTTTACTAAATGTTCAACTAAGACTTCATTAAACACATAGCATAATACTACCCAAAGGGCAAATGGTAGGGAAACTATTATATTTTCATGTTTATTATATTGTTTATATTATAGTCTATATTAGCCATGAATATTAAACAAATACATAATCATACTGTTA